CCTGTAAAGGTCTACAATGTTCTTACTCTGTACTGCCCTAGTGCTGGGCTAATCTGGCTGCTGCTGCTCCTCATACTATCCCCTCAGTCCTGCTTTTTAATTATGAATCAAAATGAGCTCTCTGTCATTACCAACTTAGTTTGCTGGATAAGGCGTATGTAGCCACCTGGGATTTTTTTTTTTTTTTGGCTGTGATTTCCCAAGATATGATCCAATATCGAAGCACAGTAGTTCACATATGAATAATCCACAGTCCCATTACCAAGCAAGATTTAGGTGCTTCTGGGTAGTGACATTTTAAAAGTTCTGGTTCCTTTCAGGAAAGACTTATCCTCTCAGTTGTCATATAATTTCTATTTTGTTTTAATAACACACACATCAATTCATCCTCACGGAAAGTAAGTATGGCAGTACTACCCTCAAAGGACTGTTAGCAGTTGGTTGGTCTAGGCACAAGGAATACAACTATAGCCTAAAAGTGTACAATTCTGCAATACACTTATGTAAGTACAAAGAACAAGGAAACACCATTCCCAGGTCTGGACTTTTGAATAACTATTTAGGTCTCTCAACACAGATATTACTGGCATTTTGGCGTTGGTAATTCTATGCTGTATAGGCTGATGCTGCAAAGTTAGATGTTTAGCAACACCTCTGACCTCTAGATGCCAGAAGCACCTTCTCAAATTTGTTAGGAACAAAAAGCTCCCCATGTATCCGGCTAGTAGGGGCAAATTAACCCTTGCTGAAATTTAGATGCTCCCATTTTTATCTCTTGATGACCGCCGTTTCACAGCGATAACGTGCGGACACATGACGTACTCCCTTCTCTCCAAGTGACAACTACATAATTTAGTGTTAGGAAGGGGCCTAGAGGAAAGATCAAGCGTCCCTTTTGGAGGGAAGTCTTTAAATAAGAGACCGAGAAAACAGCATGTTACGAAGGCCGGGACTCACTCAGTACTGACAGGAGCGAAGGTGCGGGCACCGTGATAAGCGTCGCCCCGCATGGGTGTACCGGGGAAACTGATGCTCCAGGGCAAACTTAGGAGCAGAGGCCGCAGCTGGGAAAGCAAGCGGCCTGGGTGTCATCGGCCCCCGCCCTTCCCTGCTTCTCGGGTGACCTTCAGGAGTTTCCCGAGAGCCGCTTCAGCGCCACTCTCAAGGCCACCCTTCTCTCCAGCTTTCCCGGCGTTAGCTCTCTCCTGCTCACAGGACCCGCTGAGTTTCCCCTTGGCCTCCGCCCGCCCGCAGCCCGCTTCTCCGCGGGGTTCACCTGAAGGGCAGACCCAGGCCTGAGGCCAGGGCCGCACACCCCGCCCCCGGTCCCCGAGTGGCCGACGAGCCTCTCCCACCCTGCCCCACGCGCGCCTCCGTGCTCACTGAGAAGGACCCGGCCTTGCTGAGGAACTTCATGGCTCTAGCGTGTGCCCTTTCCCACGGTCACCGCCGCGGATAGGAAGAAAGATGGTGTCGGAGGACCAAGTTTCCCGGCGTGCCCTGCGAGCTTGCCCACGCCCCCTTGGCCGGCGACTCTCTACACACGCCGAGCTCCACTGCTCCTGGAGGCGGTACGGGTGCCGCTCCTGCAGGTGAGAGGCTAGCGGTCCTAGGCGAGCACGCAGCACGCAGCTTCGGTTACCCTTTCTGTGTTCTTTTCCTGCAAGAACATGCAGCCTGTAATCCCAACTGCGTCTGCAACTATCACGGTCACCACAGCTAGATTCTCGTCCCACACCTGTCCGTGGACTAGGCGCTACTTCCTGTTCCCCGGAGGTCCACCCTCGCCACCTTTATTGTGGTCCTCACCAACCTGTGAATTTGGTGACCGCTGAGACCGGCGAGACGAGTGCCCTCTCTGACAAGTCAACACACTTGTAGGTGGACCTCAGGGGATCGTCACCAGCAAGCGCTCGATTTCGTGGAATTTGCGTCCTAGGGTGGCGTGTGTGTGTGTGTGTGTGTGTGTGTGTGTGTGTGTGTGTGTGTGATGTGGAATTTGCGCGTGTGTGTGTTAGATGTGGAATTTGCGTCCCAGGGTGGCGTGTGTGTGTGTGTGTGTGTGTGTGTGTGTGTGTGTGTGTGTGTGTGATGTGGAATTTGCGTCCCAAGCGCGCGCGCGCGCGCGTGTGTTAGATGTAGGCCCTGCTCTTCAGGCACTTAATAGTTTCCTACCACTCTTGTGATTGGGAAACGAACAGTACCAATATCTATGGGAGTTTGTTAGAAATACAGAATCTCCAGTTTCCAGATTGGCCAGAATCCATTTTTATGAGATTCGTAATTTACATGCACATTAAAGCTTCAGAAAGGCTAGTAGTACGGGCAGGACAAGGTAACAGGCAAACATGTTCTCTTTTGCTGGTGACTGAATTGTACCGTGACTACAATTTGACTAGATGTCGTCCAAGATCCAGTCATTAAATACACTGCCAACATTTGCCTTCAGGGTAGACCTCCAAACCAAGGAAACTGTGGCACAAATATCCTAAATGGGAAAAATTCTGTTCAAAAAGTGCTATAATTCATGGTATCTGCTACATAAATAAAAATCTCATTACCTTATGTTTTAGAATATTGCAGGTTTGTCTATTTAGCTTTAAACTCCAAAGCATGAGTATCATCTTCTGGACAGATGTAACATTTTCCATATGTCAGAACACTCACAGCATTGTAACTGTTGCTTATATGGAGGTTTCTGCCATAAAACTCTTATATTTTATTGCAGATGGAAAGGGCTGTTGAGATTGTTTCAACATAGAATTTGAAAGCCCCGACCTTTATGGCTGAGTTCTCTTGGAGACCTTTGTCTCTTATTCTGGCAGGTTGTCACTGGGATCACTCTAAAATAACAGGCAAGTTCAAATCACATTGCAGGAAGAGATTGGCTTCCTTTCTTGCTACTAGATATATAGGCAGAACACTTTTCATTGATGCTTTGTTTTTGTTTCTTCTATTTTGTTGATCTCAGCTCTGATCATGTCTTGCCATCTCCTTCTGGGTATTATTTCTTCTTTGTGTTCTAGAGCTTTCAGGCACTTGCTCGATATCTCCATTTCTTTATGCAGACACTTAGTGCTATGAACATGAGGACCACCTTCATTGGGTCTGGCAGGTTTGAATGTGTTGTGTAGTCATTTTCATTCAGTTATAAAAAGTTGTTTTATTTCTTTCTTTCATCAGTAGTGAATTGTTCAGTTTCCATGATTTTGGAAGCTTTCTGTTGTTGTTATTCAGTGTTAATCTGTGGAGGGAGGTCAGAGAGGATGTAGGGTGTTATTTCAGTTTTCTTGGAGAAAGTCAATTTTGGAGAAAGTTTATGAGCTGCTGAGAAGGTATATTTTTTTGTGTTTGGGTGAAATATCCTATAAATATCTGCCAGGTACATTTGGTTTATTACTTCATTTACCTCTGTTTAGTTTGACCTGTCTATTGGCTGGAATCACATATTGAAGTTACCTGCTGTCACAGTGAGGATCAATATATGATTTTAGCTGTAGTAGTGTTTCTTTTATGAACACTTGTTTATGCCCTTGTTTTTGGTGCATAAATGTGTAGAATTTCAATATCCTCTTGGTGGATTTTCCTTTGATGAGTATGTAGTGTTCGCTCTTATCTCTTTTGATTAGTTTTGATTTGGAGTCTATTTTGTCAGATGTTAAAATGGCTACACTGGTTTGCTTCTTGGGCACGTTTAATTGGAATATCTTTTTCCATCCTTTCACCCTGAAGAGATACCTATCATTGATGCTAAGTTGTGTTCCTTGGATGCAGCATAAGGACAGATCCCATTTTTTGAATCCAGTCTGTTAGCCTGGGTCTTTTTATTGAGGGAATTGAGGCCATTGATGTTGAGAGTTATCAATGAGCAGTGTTTGTTGATTCCTGTTATTTTGTTGTTATGGTGTGGGTTTTCACCCCCCCCCCTTTTGATTTGCTGATCTGACATTATTTGTGCTTTGTGTTTTCTTGGGTGTGGTTAACCTCTTCGGGTTGAAGTTTCTGTAGTACCTTCTACAGAGCTGGACTTGTAGATAGATACTGCTTACATTTGGTTTTATCATAGAGTGTTTTTCTTTTTCCATTTATAGTGATCGAAAGTTTTGCCTTGTAATGCTGGGCAGGCCCTTAGCTCAGCCCAGGGCAAACTACCCAGAAGGCACTTGTGAGTCAGTTGGTGCCAGCCACTTAGTCCTAGAGACACTAACCAGGGCCTTAGCTTCTTCCTGCCCGCCCAGGGCAAACGCTGTGATAGTATGTGATGCTCTATTTTTAAGACATTTTCAAAAGAGTTAAGGAGGAAAGATGAAATTCCTTCAGCAAAAGTTGTTTTACTTTAAGAAAAGGGCTATAAATCAGTGTTTAAAGTTAAAAGCATAAAAATCCAAAATTCTCTGTTTGATAGAGCTATAATGACTTAACACATCAAAAACACTGTGGGCATAGTGATGTCCATATCTGCATGCACATTTATACAGGTAAATATTGGGAAAGTAAGCTACCATTAAAATGATTTTTTAATTCTAGGAAATGATGAATGACAACTTGGCTGTTTGGATTCTATTTAAGTAGCTGGAATTTGGGCATTTGGGGTATGTGTGATACATGTTTTCACTTGTAAAATACACTAAAAATTAGTTTATGCCAAGAAACAGCTTAAAAATCAATTAAAATTTTTTTGTGTGTATGTGTGTGTACATGAAAACACACTTATATACAGGTGGAAGCTAGAAGAGGGTGTTAGATCCCTTGAGCTGGAAATATGAGTCACCTGTGTGTGCAGGGAATTGAATTCTCATCATCTGTAAGAACAGCAAATGCTCTTAACCACTGAGGCATCTCTCTAGCTCTTAAATATAGAATTTTGATTATACATATATGATACAAAAACGTTCCTTCAACACAGTTATTACATAGTATATTTAATGGGAAACAAACACTAAAATATTATATAAACAGGTCACTAAAATGTGTTCTTTCAGAAAACATTTATTTTCAATCTGTACACATTTTTGTTAGCTCCCTAAAGCAGATCTTGATTTGTTATTTAAATCCTGAAGGATAAGCTTCCAAGGACCAATGTTCAAGTTCAGCGGCAGCTAGAAAGAAAAAGAATTACAATCTTTACCTCAGAGACTTCACAGTTAACAGCAGGAGTAAACAAAAAAAAAAAAAAATGCTGAGAACCTTATCAGAATAAAATCAGAATAGATAGAAATGACATATATGTATGTATTACTACAACACAAAACTAAAATTAATATAGTTTGCTCCTATATACACACTGAATTAATTATCATTAGGGCTGAGTGCCAGCATGCATTCCCATTCCTCTCTTGTTTACTCAGAGACCAGGTACTAAAACTACTGTGGTGATTACTGAAAAGATGAGAGAAGATATATTACAGCTCTCAATAATCATTTCATTGTATTACATCCCCACACCAGAAGGACATGCAGTTTCTATACAGAGCCTTAGATTCTTTGACAGGTTAAATACAGAAATCACTCCAACACTCAGAGAGGACTTACAAGCCAGTGTTGTGTTGATACTGTAGCCTCTTTGGTTGCTGTGTTATACATGGGGATATTGGGGAAATAAAGGAGAAGCTCAGCCATACAAACACTAGAGGTGAGGAAAAACATGACTAATCTGTGGATACTGACTGTAGGAGCAACGGTCACAGTTGGCCAGTGGTGAGAGAGAAGGCAGAATAGCTTGACAACAATCATTCTGAGTTGTATATTTATAGTCTTCATAAGGAAATCAGTATTTCCTCTTCCAGGCAGGAGGTAAGCCAATAAGGAATAAGTAATGGGATTTAAAATGATACTTGTCAAGTGGCTGATTAAGTATCAATAGATGATTGTTATAGTTTTTGAGGAGGTTGACTGTTGAGGAAGAATGAAGAGGAGGTTTTGAAAAACCATGGAGTTACAGATATGCAGGGTGAACGGTACTCACTAGTGATGGCTGGCTGCCTTTGCATGCTTTTAATGTAGAATCTACAAACCAAAGGGCAGGGATTCCATTTGCTACTTAAGTTTGCTTTGTAAACTTACTCTAAATTGAACACATACACATTGGCAACATACCTTTATCCACCTCTTCAGTTATGTCTTTTACCAGTTTTTGCTGCTTCTGAAATGCCAGATTTTATAATGTTAAAAGCAAACAAATGATATTTTGGGAATGATATATCACTTAAAATATGATCCCTCAAAACCTATTAAACCTATTAAAGTAGAAGCTTCTTAAAATATATACATATGTGAAAGAAATCTAAATGGAACAACCAAATAATGGGGGAGATAAAGCCCCCAACTACACATCTCTTGCCACCAAGTAAAACCTCCAGTGCCAGGAATGGGTTACATATAACTGAGTTGTTGATCAAAGGGTCTTATGGAAACCTCCAAACAAGTCAGGCTATTACCAACATGATTAGTTGTTCTCTACAAAATGATGGTAAGATCCTATGTGTCTAATTGAACATGGAGAAGTTGAGCTGGTGCCTAACTAGAGCCAATACCTCTATTGACTAGTGTTCACAGTACAGGAAGGTACACTGCATGCTGCCAGAGGAGAAAAGTAAACACCAACCCAGCTACAAACCCTTCGGTTTGCAATGGTGACGTGTCTGCAAGGTATGCTGGTGCAATAGTGGCACAGATTTTGTGGGAAGAACCAGCCACTCTCTGATTGGATTTAAGTCCCACTCTATGAGATGGAACCTGTCCTAGTTAGGGTTACTATTGCTGTGATGAAACACCGTGACCAAAAGCAAATCGGAGAGGAAAGGGCTTATTAGGCTTACACTTCCACATTGCTGTTTATCCTCAGAGGAAGTCAGGACAGGACTTCAAGCAGGGCAGGAACCTACCTGGAAGCAGGAGATTATGCAGAGGCCATGGACGCTGCTTACTGGCTTGCTGGTCATGGCTTGCTCAGATTGCTTATAGATCCCAGGCATACCAGCCCAGGGACAACACCACCCACAATTGGCAGGGCCCTCTCCCATCAATCACTAATAAGAAAATGCCCTACAACTTGATCTTATGAAGGCATTTTCTTAACTGAGGTTCCCTCTTTTATGTCAATTTGACACAAACTAGCTGGTACAGAACCCAAGTCTGACACTGCTTGGGTGGTCAAGAACCTGAGACTACATATGCCATGGACACAGGGGAAAATCGAAGTACAGAGAGTGAGAGACCTTAGGACACACATTCCTAGATGGGATTTCTTCTTCAAGCCCCTCTCTTCAGAACTGGGGGAGTTATGTAGAAGAAGAAGATTGTAAGGGCCAGAGGAGATGGGTGACACCAAGGAAACAGTGTCTTCTAACACACAGAGACTGACAGCATGCACAGGGCCTGCATAGGTCTAAGTCAAATGGGTTCCAGTACTGAGGGAGAGGGGAAGGGGACACAAGCTTCCATCCTTAACCAAGATGCTACCTCCAATTGACAACTTCTTGCAAAGGAAAAATTGAGTTTTCTCCAGTAGAGTCTCACTGGATTTATAAACCACACTTAAGGGTAGGACTCTTGTCCTTAGTGGATGGCCAACACAAAATGTACTGAATGGTATTTTGTAGATTTTTTCTTGTTCTATATTGCACTGGACATTTTTAAAAACTTTCTAGTGTTCTGCTTGTATACTATGGCTTCTGATTTGTGTTTTTATATATTTTTTTAAATTTTTAAAATTTTTTGGTATATGTGTTTCTTGTGATTTTTCTTTGTGGATTTTTTAAAAAGAAGGTTATTTGTGTATATGAGTTTTCTATTTGAATGTATGGCTGTGTCTTAGTTTGGGTTGTTTTGCTGTGATGAGACACCATGACTACAGCTATTCTTATAAAGGAAAACATTTAATTGGGGTGGCTTACGGTTTCAGAGATTTAGCCCATTATAATCATGTTAGGACATGGTGGCATGCAGGCAGGCATGGTACTGGAGAAGGAGCTGAGCGTTCTATATCTTGATCCACAGGCAACAGGGAGTGGAATGAATTTCACACTAGGAATAGCTTGAGCATAGGGGATCTCAAAGCTCACCTCCTCAGTGGCATACTTCCTTCAACAGCCACACCTCCTAATAGTGCCACTATCTATGGGGGACATTTTCTTTCAAACTATCACAGGCTGCATGGCAGAAGAGGGCATCAGACAGAAGAGGACATCAGACACCTCTATAGATGGCTGTGAGCCACCATACAGTTTCTGGGAATTGAACTAAAAACCAATAGAAAGACAGCCAGTGCTCTTAACTGCTGAGCCATCCATCTCTCCAGCCCTTCTTTGTGAATTTTTAATTATAATTTTTTGTTTCTTTGTTTTCTAAAGAAAGAGAGAAAAAAAGTTGTGGATTTGGATGGGTGGAGAGGTTGGGGAGATCTGGGAAATCAGGGAGTGGAATATATTTTATGAAAGATTTATTTCCAATAAAAATAAAATAAAGGGAGGGGTAGGGGAGGCAAAGATAGGTTGATTCCTGAGGCCCATTGGCTAGCCATCCTAGCAGAATCAATGAGCTCTAGGTTCATCGAGAAACCCTGTCTCAAATAATAAGGTGGAGAATGATCTGATTGAGGAAAATATCCAATGTTGATATCTGGCATCCTCACATAAATAATAATAGTAATAATAATAATAATAATGGCCCTTGACAGCAACTTGGCCTATATGTCCCCTGTGGTAGCATAGGTCACTCATATCAACATGATCCAGGTGGCAGCATGGTCCTGTGGCATGAATATGGTCCCAAGTGCCTGGCCAGACCCCAGGCATCTGCAGAGCCCTCAGTGGCAACTGGAGCCATGGATATCATCCCAGACCTCAGTCTCCCCTGGGCCACAGACCCAGATATGGCCCTAAGCATGAATTATGAAATTGTACTTCTGCACACAGAAAGAGAATGAGGGGCTGGAAGGATGTCTCAGTGGGTGAAGTGCCTACCACACAAGCATGAAGACATGGGTTTGGATCCCCAGCACCCACATAAGAAGCCAGGCATGGCAGCATATACCTGTAACCGCAGTGCTGGGGGAGGGAGGTATGGGGTCACTGGAGCTCACTGGCCAGTCAGTCTAGCCAGTCACTGAACCAGATCCAGAGAGAGATCTTGTCTCAGAAATGAGGTGGAGAGTGAGGGAGGATACCTGAGTTCAGTTTCTGCCTTCCACACCCACACATGCAGAAGAGTTCACTTACACACACACACACACACTTCTTAAAAACTAGGTAGGAAGTTCCAGAGACTGTCCTACACATGCACATATGTGCACACACAACTGCATACATACACACACACACATACACACACACACACACCACACACACACACACACACACACACACAAGAGAATGAGAGCTATGCACACCAACAGAAAAAAGTATCAGGAGAGATAGGTCATAGAAAAGGGGAAAACTTTGCCAATTATTCACCTAACTGATACTTCAAATACATAAAGAACTAAAAAAAAAAAATCAAAAGAATAAACCAGTAAATACAGGAAGTAGATACTTTCAAATAAACATACAGAAATGTCTAAGTAATACACAGAACATGTTCAATATTTTCAGCAATCAATAAAATGAAAATTAGAAGTACACTGAAAACCCATTCAGATGAAATAAAATGAGAAATGTTGGTGAGGATATGGGGGATAGGAACCCTTAAAACCACATTGAGATTGTATAATAAATTAGGGTCTCTGCCACCGCTTACATACCCATAACTCCCCTTTCTTTCTCCTCCAGCCGAGCAAGACGTTCAAAGGAAAGAAGGCCAGTGAGAAGAAGGTAGCCCCGGCCCCCTCCATTGTGAAGAAACAGAAGGCCAGAGAGGTGATGAATCGTTTGTTTGAGAGAAGGTCTAAGGACTTTGACATTGGACAGGACATCCAGCCCGAAAGAGATCTCACATGCTTGGTCAAATGGCCCAACTACATCAGATTTCAGTGGCAAAGTGACTCTAAGTACCTGCTGCTTAACCAGTTAACCCATGCCTTGGGCCGGCAAACAGCTACCCCCAGCTGCTTATGCTCAGACACATAAAAATGAAAACAAATGTTTTCTTAGAGAACACTGACTATTGTGGCCTTTACTGAACAGGCATAAGTTAACTAAGCAGTTCAATATCTCACCAAAGGAAAAGAATTAACAATACTACCAGATAACAGAGTTGGGATGCCAAAGGACAGAATATAGTTTACCTTGAGCAGACTCTTCCGCATAGACTCAGAAGGCTGAGGGCTGGATATAGAAGGCTCTGGGTTTCTGCGTGGAATGAAGCTAGGGTTGCATTTTACACAAGTGTTATGGTTTGTGACAGGCCTTGTACTAAGAGAGCTCTGCATAGCTCTGTTCTGTCCTGTCACCAGCAGCATGTCTGTTCTGACTTTACTCAGCTTGCTGTTAGTCCTGTGAAGATTGCAAAGGGCAAGCACTTACACTCTGGTTCCCTAAATGACTTACACTCTTTAGAAAGTATGTCTTAAAGCTGAAAATGTGATGGAGCACATCTTTGGCACTTCGATTTGTTCTAAAGAAGTACACCTCTTTCCAAGCTAACAAGTAAATTCAGAGTGGGAGAGAGATGAATGCCTGCCAATGGTGATGAGATGATGCTATGCTCACATTCTTGATGGAAGAGACACTGGCCCACTCAAACATGTCACTCTGGCAGGCCTTGCCCTTCTTCCCTCTCCCCTGTTCCCCTCTGCCTTGCTAAAAACCGTTAGATTACATCCCGAAAGCTAAGCCATCAAGGTCTGTTCCCTTATTTGGATACTTTCCTATGCCAGGCTCATTCTTCAATATGAGTACCGAAAGTCCAGCAATCAAAATTCACCTAATTAACATTCCAAATCAAAATATCCCACTGCACCCTAGCCCACTCTACACAGATCTCCCTTTTCCCTCCTCTTAAAAATTAACACCTGTAAGGTCATTTGCTGCTGGTTTTTTGTCTGAGAAGCCACTTTAACTTTTCTTTCCCACATAATAAAGGATCATTCTGTGAAAACAGGTGTTCAGGTGTAGCTTGTGCCTAATCTGGGGTCCAGGAGGAAGTCCCTACTGTTGGGGGTGGAGGGAGTCTCCTTCATTGACTAAAAACCATTGTACCACAGGAAACCACAACAAACTGTTGTGTGGTGATCCACAACAAATGTATAATGATGTATAAAATGTACACAATTAAAAAAGAAATCATAGAGCTTTCATCCAATAGCTAAAGGAAGCAGAATCAGACACCCACAGCTAAACACTGAGCCGAACTCCTGGAATCCAGTTGCAGAGAGGGAGGAGTGATGAGCAAAGGGGTCAAGACCAGGCTGGAGAAACCCACAGAAACAGCTGACCTGAACAGTGGGGAGCTCATGGACTACTGTCTGGTAGCTAGGAAACCAGCATAGGACCGGCCTAGACCCCCTGAATGTGGGTGTCAATTAAGAGGTCTGGGGCAGACTATCGGGCCTCTGGTAGTGGATCAGTATTTATCCCTAGTATATGAATGGACTTTGGGAACCCATTCCACCTGGAGGGATACTCTCTCAGCCTAGACACTTGGGGGAGGGCCAAGGTCTTGCTCCAAATTATATGACAGACTTTGAAGATCCCCCCATGGAAGGCCTCACCCTCCCTAGGGAGCAGATAGGGGATGGGATAGGGAGTTGGGGGGAACAGGGGAGGAAGGGAGGAAGAGGGAACTGGGTTTGACATGTAAAACAAGTATGTTTCAAATATAAATAAGTAGTAAAAACAAACAAACAAACAAAAAACAAAACTTGGCCAGGTGGTGATGGCACATGCCTTTGACCTCAGCATTGGGGAGGTAGAAGTGGGAGGATCTGTGTGAGTTCGAAGCCAGCCTGACCTACAGAGTGATTTCCAGGATAGCCAGGATTGTTTCACAGAGAAACCCTGTCTCAAAAAACAAAACAAATCAGACAGAAAAACCGAAACTCACAAACTAGCTAGAAATAGTTGTATGCAGTGAAGCAGCTTTGATTTCAAGAGCTGTTGGATGAACCAGATTTTCAAGTTTTTGCTTTCACTATGTACAATTCACCCATTCCCTGGGACAAGTTAAGCATTTGGGACAGAGGGGAATTCAGAGGAGCAGCCTCTGGGATAGAAGATGGTTCTCCTCCTGATGACTTACAAAACAAAATGAGCAGTTCCTGAAACATTTAGCATCTTAAGTCATCTCTGAGATAGGACTTGCTGTTTCTGCCAGGCACACATCCCGACACTGGCCCAGGGATTATGTTTACCTATATTGTGAATGGTATTTTGTTCATCACTGGGGTAACCTACTGCTAGGAATCAAGTCTGCCTTGATGTACAGCAGAGCAACTGTAAAGTTTGTCATCAGATATCTGTAACTGTGACACCAGAAACAAAATGCACACAGTGGCAGACAGTTGCCTCCACAAGATACAGAATGTGCCTGGAGGGGCAGTGTTATTACTGTGGGTCCTTTTGGGTGTGTTTTTAAAAAAGTTATTAGTTGTTAATGTTTCTATTTGAGAGAATGTTAACATAATTTTATGAAAAATATAACTGTCTTAATTAGCTTCAAGACCAATCTGTCATTAAGAGGGAACAACACATAAAACTAAAGATTAAAAAGGGTGAAGTGCTCTGTAGCCACACTCTAAGTGTGGGTTCATTTCCTGACATTATTTTCCAGTTATCCTACTGAGTCTGTTTCCGTGAAAATTACACACTAGAGAAAGTGAGTGTCAGTTTCCTGGCTTACTTGTTGAGCTTCTGTGATAATATCTTGCTGAGTTCCTGCTCTTTGATGCAAAGTTGCTTGTATTTCTCTACCTTCCTTGCATCGGACTCTCTTTCAGCTTTCATTTTCTCAAGCTCTGATTCAAGACTTTTAATCCTGAGTTCCATTTGACTCATTACTGAATCATTGTTACTGTCTCTTAATGCCATTGCATGTTTTTTATCCTCAGATTTTGCCTATGGAAAATTAAAATGATATACTTTTAAAAACAATTACACTAAACACTCAGAATACTTGCTATGCTTCCTTTAGTTGTTGATTTCCAGAGTAATTTTAAATATGTGAAATAAGATGCCAGAGTTTAAAATATCAATATCAACTCCATTAAATCCAATAATAAAATGACACTGAACCTTGTTTGGTGGGCTACAAGTCTTATTTCTGAATTAGTCTCATGCTTGCCCTTATGTAACCAGACAGTTCATAGGAAAGAATTGACTCAAATTTCAAAAAATCGCCAACAGTATAACTTAAGAACAATTCAGAAGCACAGAGAAAGTTCAAAGTCCCAGTTTCTCTTTCCCTCCCAGGGGTCTTGTTTTATGCTAAATTGTCTAAAAAGTTGAATGATTATTCTGAAAGATCAATTGTATTTTAATGATGGGAACTGAAGTAATTAAAGGGATTAACAGATGTCACCTGACTTCTAGAAATCTCCAACACCAGCTGTTATAAGACACACAGAGGACACTCACATATCAGTTATGCTGTAAAAGTGGATGCCTGTCTCAAAGCATCTTCTAAATGATGACATCTCTCTTCAACCTCCCCCCATCCCCTGCCCCTGCATTGACAATATTTCTTCTGGAACTGACCTACCATGTTCTCTTGTGGCTGGTGCTGTGGGTCTAGTACATCTCTTTCCAGAATCTTCTGATCCATGTGGAGCTTTTCGTATAACTTTTGTGCTATTTTTATTGATAACAATTCCTGCTCAATGTATTTAAATTGTACATTCAGAGGTAAATATTTGGCGTTCATAGTTCCCCATTTTTCTTTCAGTTCATGGATCTACATGAATAAAGAAAGTCACATAGACTGGTACAAAAGGATTTTGGTTGGAAAAAACTTACAGAAAAACAATAGCAGATTTTGACCTAAATTCAATTGAGATACATTATAATCGATAGCAGAGTCAGAATGTAATCCATTGATGCTTGTATAAAACCAATAGAACGAAAGTCATAAAGAATCATAAAAATATATTTAAAATGTTATTAATCTTTGAGAATTTTATATAGTGTATTTTGAAGATACACAACCTTCTCCAGTTCCAGATCCACCCCCACCTTCCTGCCCAGGCACCTTGGTGTTCTATTTCTTTCTCTCAAATTCACTGAGTCCAATTTGTGTTGGCCAATTTCTTTTGAGTGTGTGTCCTGCCCTAGGGCATGGTCAATATGTCAGGGTCACACCATCAAAGAAAACTGACTTTGAGGCTTAACAGTGGTTAAGAGAACTTGTTGCTCTCAGAGAGGGTCTGAGTTTGATTCCCAGCATCTATCTCCCTGTTGACTCACCATCATCTGTAATTCCAGTTCCAGGGGACCTGATGACCTCTGAGCTGTGTGGGCACAGGGCATGCATGTAGTGCACATATATACATTCAGGTAAAACATCCATGCACATAACATTAAGTAAACAAAATCTTTAAAGTTAGAAAGGAAGGAAGGAGGGAAGAAAATTGACTCTGTCCCCCAGCAGCTATCAAATGCCAATAGCTTCTCAGCTATTGGGAGTGAATCTTTCTGTCCATCTCCCTGCTTCATGGTTCACAAAATATACTCAAAATATTCACAAAATATACTCATCTATGTCACAAGATATCAATCTGCACTGGACTTCAAGCTTTTTTTTTTTCCTGATTTGTCTCATTTCTTTCCTTCATAAAATTGTCTCTTAGTGAAGAATCTCTCCCTCTCCCATCTTTAATGCCTATAGCTTATAAGGAAGTTAGGGACACTGGTTTTCAGTTGTTTAAGGTCTGCATTAATAAGCAACTCTCAAGCCAGGCAGTGGTAATGCACACCTTTAATCCCATCATTCAGGAAGCAGAGGCAGGAGGATCTCTATCAGTTCCAGGCCAGCCTGGTCTATAGATCTAGTTCCAGGACAATTAGGCTACACAGAGAAACCCTGTCTTAAAAAAACAAAACAAACAAACAAACAAAAAACCAAAACAACAAAAATAAACAGCAGAAACAAAAACAAAGACAAAACCAAATACACCCAAAGTCTCCCAGAACAAGAGTCTGGAAATTAAACTGTAATTAATTAATCTGACAGATGTGGAATTCAAAGTTGCATGTCTTATTCTGAGTTGGGGATGTCTGGCTCATTTGAATGACTGTCTTACTAAAGTTTTCATTGCTGTGAAGAGACATCATGGCCAAGGTAATTTATGAAAGTAAGAATTTCATTGGGGGCTTGCCTATAGTGCCAGAGGGTGAATCGGTGTGGCAATAGACTGGGAACGAAACTTCCAAGTCCACCTCTGGTGACACACTACCTCCAACAAAGGCCACACCCCCCCCAATCCTTTCCAAACTGTTTCACCCACTGGGGAGTAAGCATCAAATCTGTGAGCCTGTGGAAGCCATTACATTCAAATTGTCACAGCTGCATTACAAGAAGTCATGATCATGATTTTCAGGAAGGATCTGGAATGTCCTAGTGATAGGACCCATTCCTTAAACAAGAATGGTTTAATTCAACAACATCCTGCAGTCGTTTAATCTTTCCACAAAGGTGAATTGATTTTCAACATTTGTGGAAAAACAAGTGTGAAAAAGCAGCTTTTCTAACAAGAAATAATGCTGGAATACCTGGATATCCACATGCAAAGAATAAAGTTGTACTCCTACTAAATAATACGCTTACAAATGAACTCAAAATAAACATGTGAAGTGTAAAGTTAAAGGTCATGTCTCTAGCTTGAAGATGGACTTGGGTCACATGGCCTTTTATCTGTTCCTCTTTGCAGTGATCAGTCCTGTGGCTGATGAGGAAAAGGGAATGAGCAATGCCTGAAGGGTATGTGGTTCCTTCATAGGTGCTGAGAGCAGTTCACAGCTGAGGATGCTCTGCAGCTATATCAAATGCTACTGACATGCCTCTGTTAAATGACTCAACTACAAATGTCTGTTAGTTATATCTCAATAAAACAGCAACGGTATGCCTTGTATTTAAGAAAAGCAGTGCAACAGGGTTCAAGCAGAGGGAGAGAATGGCAGAGGACGGGAGGTAGGCAGGGCCCTTTTAAAAGGGAACACAGTGAATGTGCACAGGTGGTGCTCTTAGTGGCTGCAGCTGAGGGTGTATCCTGTCAGAACCTCAAGGACAGGCTAGTACAGATGCCTGAATATTAGCAAAATGTAGAGGGAAAAAATCAGTAGAATCATTGTCTTTAGGGTAAACAGAATGGAATAGTTGTTTTTTCACTGTTTCTAGGGTAAACGTTAGGACGAAATAGTTGTTTTCTAAAAGTACTTAGACCTTGAAAAAAAATAATTGTGAAAAACAGTGGTTAGCTTCTGTGTTTCTCTGAAGGGGTTTTATAGCCTTTGCATGACTTTGGTCACATGACAATCCTGGCACACCTCGAGTGTCTTGCATTACTACAAACAGCACACAATAAGGACTAAAGTTGCAGGTCGGTGTTTTTCTTCTGAAGACATATAGATTAGATCAGGGGCTTTGGGTATGAGGAACTTGTTTTACCCCAAACAACTCTTGTGTAACAATCAATAAATCCACTTTTGTATGGCTATTTAAGGTTCAGTTCCTCAAAATAGTGCCTTCCTGCCACCACAGAGCCCGAATTACAGAGAAAGAGTTATCCTCTTTCTTTGATCATCCCTTGCTACATAGAACACCGAAACCAAACAAAATCAATGCTACTCATGACTTAGTGGTTTATGAGGGTTTGTACTGCTTGACTTTATATACCAGTAATACCCTTTCAGTGGAAAAATAATTAATTTTCATTGACACCAAGTATGAACATTTAAGCATTTATATTTTTGGTCTCTAAACAAGTTAGAATTACCTCATTTTTTAACATATCCATGGAAATGTTCACTTCAAGTTCTTTAGTTTTTAAATCTCTATGGCAACTAAATTCTCCATTTTCATGATCATTCAATTTCTTTCTCATTACTCTTAAGTGTTTCTTTATTCTGCAAAAGGGTACATGGTCAGTATGGGAAGTTTTTAAAACAATAAATGCTTAACAAGTTTTCAAATGGATTTCTATCACATTTTTACATACTTTCTTTAAAATGAACCTACACATTATGATCTCTCATTTGTTTCAACTTAAAATTATTGAAAGTATTCTAATGAAATTATAATCTTCAGTAAATAATATGAAGAAAAATTTCTATGGTATGACAGATAAAGAATAAAAACTGTGTGTAATTATATACTGAATTGTTTTAACTATTACTATCTACTTTATTATTATAGTATGAAGCATTTACTAATGATTAACAATTAGGAATCAAGGTAAAGAAGAAAAAACGTACATATGTGTGAGCTATATGTAAATATACATCATTTTATATACAAGAGCTGACTATCCATAGACTTTGGTATTTGTGGAAGTTCCTAAAACTAAACTTCTGCAGATATGAGGGGGGGACTTTATTTTAGTTGTATGTGTGTATATACAGATACATGTAGATATGTATGTGTAGATACATATATGTAACAAACAAGTTTAGCAATAGGTATACCTCATGCACAAATGGGTAGTACTCATGGAAAAGGAACATATCTGTATGATATCATAATTGAAAAAAAAGAAAGGCAGAAAGAAAATAAAAACCAAATCAATTTAAATTTGATAACAGTGTTTTAGGTAGGGAAATGTTTGAGCGATGAATGAAGGGTGCTGCCAGAAGAAGACAAGAAGGAAAAACTAGCCTAACTCCTCCCTCGCAAGGCTCAGGGGTTGCTGTGGAAGAAGGTGCAGAAGACCATAAGAGCCAGAGACAATGGATGACTACAGTCAAAGTGGTCCTGCAGCTACAACAGGGCAGCTGCGTATAATAATCACGGAGATTTTAGACAGCATGTACAAGCCCTGTGTAAATTCAAGCCAAACCTGTCTCAGCAAGGGAAAGGGGAGGTGGACATGAAGCCACCCCTCTCTGGAGTGGGGGGGTGATTAATAGCTTCTGGGATTCAAGAGTCAGTTTTCTTTTTAAGTGTGGACCCTGAAAGTCAACCCTGTGCCAGTGGGAGGCCACACATTCAGGAATATGGGCAGCACAAATTAGATTTAGTGGGTGAATAAAAGGAGGATGCAAAGTGGGAAAGAGGAGGATGGATCTGGGAGAAGGAAGGGCAAATATCAAAGCAATGGGAAAGAACTAAAAGAAAAAGAAAGAAAGGAAGAAAATAAGAAAAAAAGGAAAGAAAAATTCCAGGTAGATGAAGAAATGTACAGAATCATGCCAAACGCATCACTATCATTGTTTTCAGGATCATTAGAGAGTATACATATTTTAGCATCCAAATTTTCAGGTTGAGTTGTGAGTTTCTGAAGTGAATTTTAGAAAACAGTAAGTTTTGGTTGTTAACTTATAAAATGAATTCATATTTAGGTTTTAATAAAATTATTAAGTCTGTGAGTGAAGAGAGCTGAAATATTAAAATCTTACTCAGTAAACTCCCTCTCTAATTCTTCATTTTTATTCTTCTTTTGATCCAAAGAACACCTCAGAGATGATAGGATTTTGTTGAGTTTCTTTAGCTGTTCCTCTTTGTCTCTAGCCTTTGAAAAAATATAAAATGTACTTAAAAAATCTTGACATAAACTATTCTTTCTTTAAAATATTATTTATTGCTGGGTGGTGGTGGTACAAACCTTTAATTCCAGCACTTGGGAGGTAGAGGCAGATGGATCTCTGAGTTTGAGACCAGGCTGGTCTACAGAGTGAGTTCTAGGACAGCCAGGGCTACACAGAGAACAACTGCTCTAACTGATTAACATTTCACTTTTCTTTGTATTATTATTATTATTATTATTATTATTATTATTATTATTATTATTTGGTCTTTCAAGACAGAGTTTTTCTGTGTAGCCCTGGCTCAAAAAACTATCAAGAATAATATACTTTTAGGCAGGTTACCAAAACCATTATCTTATGAATTCAGTCAAACCTCCTATAAAGCAAAGAAGATTTTCACTAACAGCAGGAAGTGGCATCAATATGAAAATATTAACTATTTATATCAGTGGGACTTCTCACATTTCCTGCAATGTTCCCATTAGGGAAAGGAAAACACGAGACAGAGGTAAGCAAGAAACTGACTCACCAAACCTGCATGTAGCTTCCAAAGCTCTGCGATTTTCTTTTCTTGATCTTGGATTATAACTTCTGCCTCAGACCATTCAGCTTGAAGCCTAAATGTGTTTTATAAACAATTATTCTTAGAGATGAATTTTTTTTTTTACAACATTGTATAATGACAAAGGACTTAAATTCTTAAAAAAATTGAGAGGTAGATATTGTTTCATTTTCTAGCTGTGTTTTAGAGAGAATGTGCAAATTTTAGGTAAAACGAACAAATATCACACAGCCTTTTTTCTTTACAATGTGAGGATTGAACTCAGGGCCATGGGCATAAAAGTATGCCCTATTTATCCCACTGAGCAGTGTCCTTAGACCTAAGGGGCACAAAACTGAAATGTCCCTTGATCTTCCCAGAGCTATCCTTACTGTGTCTGATATGATTTCTATACTACACCGATAATTCACTTTGTAGATATTCAGGTTAAGTGTATGGATCTTTATTTATTTATTTAATGTGTTTTATGTGAGTTGGTAAAGCCTGCGTGTATATCTGTGATGGTCTCAGATCCTCTGGAACTGGAGTCACAGACAGGTGTGAGCTGCCATGTGGGTGCTGGGAATTGAACCCAGGGCCTCTGGAAGAGCATCCAGTACTCTTAACTACTGAGCCACCTCTCCAGCCCCGTGTGTATGCGCCTTTAAATTATACTTTTGCATGAAATCCTGCATCTTCTGAGAACTCTGTATAGCTTCTCTTTGTCGATCCTGGGCCTCTTGCAACTAAAACAAAAAATTAAAAAGAAAAATTTACTAATATTCTAGTACAAACCTTCCCATCACATGTTTTCACTAAAATTATTTTTTAAACATTTATTTTGTGTGTGTGTGGTATGTATGTATGTATGTATGTATGTATGTATGTATGTATGTGTGCTTCAATGTTTGTAGATGCACCACACACATGAAGATTCCTGTAGAAGCCAGAAGTGGGTATAGGATCCCTGGGAGCTAGAGGCAAATACAGGCAGTGTGAGCTACCTTATATGGATGTTGGGAGTGGAACCCAGATCCTCTGCAAGAGGAGCCAGTGCTTTTAACTACTGAACCATCCCTCCAGCCCCTCATGCTAGAATCTTATTAGCACACAGCCACCATCCCTTTATCTGCATACTGAGGATACCTTTTGTATATTCACTGTGGAGTTAACTGAGTTATTGCAAAAGGGATCTTATCCCCACCAAATCTAAAACATGATCTTCATTGACCTGCCTTATGACTGACTGAAATATGGTATTCTTGTTTTGAAATCATATTTTCTCAGATACTCAAACGGACAACATTTGGCAAATGAGAAAAAAGTTGAAATCCAATTATGGTGAATTTTTACATGTTGAAAGTACTACTAAATTATAATTTTAATAATCATATGATGAATAACTAGAGCTATGAAAGCAATAATTACAAAAGTAACATAATACTCTAGGGTAGAACTGGATGCTAAAGGAAAGTGTGAGAGGCAGCTTCCTAAGTGAGATGCAGGATGCCTGTGTCTGAGACCCAGCTCCTGTTGCTAATAGTAATTGTCTTAAACAAATTAGCTTTTTGTACCTTGGCTACCTCATCAGTAAAAGAGAACTAATTACAACTTCTAACACTGGACTTTATGGATGATTAGATTAGAAAATATGCATAAAGTAATTGGAAGAATTTGAAAGACATATGGAGCCATAGACAGCATTTGCTGTTGGCATCAGCACCTTGCTGTTCTCACACCATCCTATCCTTTAGGCAGGTGGCATGTTCACAGATTCCTTCCATACCAGGTGCATGGAATCTCTTTAAAGCCAGTGAAGGGGGCAGAAAAATGGAGGCTCTAGACACACCCCTGGTAAGTCACAGAACTTTTGTAATGCACTAGCCACCTAATTTCTTTCCGTGTATATTAACTTCCATTGGCGGTTCTCTCAGTAGGCAAATTGCACCTTTGGGGCAAGGTAGTGTGCAGATGAGGCAACTGTCAGGCATCGGATTTAACTATGAATAAAGGCCCTCTTCCTCTGTGTCAGCCAGCACTCTGATGAGTGGATGGTGGTTACTAAGGGTAACGTGCAAGGCATGGCAGGTCAGAAGCGCTTCAATGAGAGCCTCTCTGTTGATGAATCACTACAAATCTAAATCACAGGTCAGCCTCCATTATAAAGGAAGGTAGATCTCTTTTTTCCATTGTGAGAAAAGTATGAGCATTTGGTAAATAATCCTCTAGCAGGTGAAGGTTTATATTGAAGTCTTTTGGTAAATAATTCCCCAGTAGATGGAGTTTTATATTTAAGTTTTTAACATGTATTTAGATGGAAATTCTTCTAATGTCAATGTTGGTAATTATGAGTATTGTATAAAGTATTTAATTTTATCCTAACAAATACTGTTTTGTTTTGTCTTTCCAGCTCTGGGGATGGAGTCCAGGGCCTCACACATTAGGCAAAAACATTTTAGTGTTTAAAAAGAAAAGTGACATCCTTATCAAACATTATATTCCCTGTAGGTATAAAACAAAGTGAAATAAAGCCAAATGAAGAAAGCATACAAAATTAATGACTTAATTGTTCTGCAAACACAAGGTAAGGAGAGGGTTGGAGGAATCTTCAGTAAATAGTAAATTATGAGCCAATTCTGAATAAATGATGACAAGTGAATAAAATGTAGAAAGAGAGGGAGCATGATTAAAAGCCAAGAGACAGTAAAATCAATACACTCAACTCAAAGGGTAAAATCCAATAGCAAAGAAATAAAAATATGGCCACAAAATCATTTCAACATTACAAATAAAGGCAAGAAGTAACAGTGGCACTGAGACCCTCCAGTTGGCAGCCACACAAGTAGACTACTATTCAACAATATGAAGAAATGGAGTTTTGGTATAGCAGTGATGACCTTGAAAGCACCATGTGATAGAAGGCCATCAAGAAGGGCTGAATATTTATAGGAAACTTCCAGAAGAATGGGGAAACTATAAAAAGTACAGTTTAGACTGGTGGGAAAGGACTGGGAAAGAAGGAGGACTTAGAAGGAGGGTGACACAGAGGAACTAGGATACAAGTTGTATTCTAAGAGATTCATATAAAGTCCCTCACAGAACTGGGAAGGGACAAGTCCCCCAGACCTCAGGTAAAGTGGGGGAGGACAGCTAATGGAGAGAGAAGTAGGAGAAAATGAGAGGGAGGAGAGGAAGGCATGTGTGACCAGGAGGATTGAGCCTGGTTAGGAATGGAAAATAAGAAAGAGAGAGAGAGAGAAAGAGAGAGAGAGAGACAGAGAGAGACAGAGACAGAGAACATAAAAGAGGGAGTCAATATTGGTTTGAAGATAAAGTTGAACACAAAGAAAGGTCGAGGGAACTACAAGACTGCTCCCAACTAACAATCTCAGCTCCCGTGGAAAGGCTATCATAAATGCCCTTCCCGGAGAGTGAGATCAACAACTAACTTCTCCATGGAGCCCTCAACTAATGCCTGTTGAAAATAGGAGCAAACACCCATACATAAACACTGAGTCGAACTAGAACCTAGAAGCAGATGGAGAGGACAAGACCATGCGGTAGAAGTACATAGAGACAGCTTACCTGAACAAGGAGGAGCTAAGGGCCACTAGACTGATAGCTGGGAAGCCAACAGGGGACTGACTTGGACCCCCCTGAATATGGGTCTCAGCCAGAAGGTCTGAGCAGTCTAAAAGACCTCAGACAGAGGAGCCAGGATGTATCCCTGGTGCACAAAAGGACTTTGCAAACATATCCCCCATGGAGGGATAACTGCCTTATTCTAGAGATAGGAGAGAAGCCCTCGTCCCTACTTCACAGGACCTGTCAGATCTACATGACCCCAACTGGTCATATGGTATTGTGGTGGGGGGTTGGGAGGGGAGGGTGTTTAGAGTGCATGGGAGAGGGCAGAGAGGGCAAAAGGGAGGGAAGGAGGGAGGGAGGGCTAAAGGGGAGGGAAGGAGGGAGAGGGAACTGGGATCGACATGTAAAATAATAAATTAAAAAAAAAACAAAACGCTTTGACTCCAAAATTTAAGTTGAAGAACAAGTTACTGGGGAAAAGGATTTCTATTTTTGTTTCCACAGAAAATGAAAAGATGTGGATTCCTTCCAGACTAATGTGGTTTGATCACGCCAGACCGCCTGAAACAGAGTACAAGCTGATCCTACATTCCAAACAGCTGGACAAAACAGCCCTACAGACTACAGCTAGGATATCTGAATCTTCTTCGAATCCCCCAAGACAGCGCCCCTTACCAGCAGGAAGTAGTTTGGAAAGAACGACGCCCAAATTCCCAAATATTGTGTATAAATGTTTGTTTTCATTTAATTGGACTTTGTTATATAAAATTAAATAAAAAAATAAAAAAAGAAGGAGGGTGACAGGGAAGGGATTTGAAATTATTCTTTAAAGTGATGAAAATATTCTGAAATTGATAGAGTGACCATTGCTTGACTCTGTGAATATACTAAGAGACCCTGAATTTGCCTGTCAAATGTTTTCCATACACTGTGTGGTGGCCATTGTGCCTCATCACAAACTCTACAAAAGCCATGACAGAAACAAGAAAACTTTCTTTGTTTTTGGATATATGTATATATGTAATCTATTTCTATGCTTTTATACTAGGTCTAAAATGGAAGAAAAATGTCTGACTTCAAATATTTACAACTGCAAAATAAAGTATAGGCATTTTTTTTCTGCATGCATATCTGTGCCTGATGCCCATGGAGGCCAGAAGAGGCATTGGATCTCCTGGAACAGGAGTTACAGACAGTTGTGAGCCACCTACCATGTGGGTGCTGGTCTTCTATTTCTTTTCCTTCTTTTCTTCTTTCCTCCTCCTCCTCTCTCTGTCTCCATGTCTCTCTCTGTCTCCCTCATTTTTGAGACAGGGTTTTCTCTGTGTAGTCCTGGCTGTCCTGGAACTCACTATGTAGACCAGGCTGCCCTCAAACTCAGAGATCCACCTGCCTCTGTCTCTGAAGTGCTGGGATTAAAGGTGTGCCATCTTGCCCAGCTGAACTTGGGTCTTCTGTAAGAACAGTAAGTGTTCTTAACCACTGAGCCATCTCTCTGGCCCCAGCTCTGTTTTCTGAGAGAAATGGTAGCCTTTCTGTGCAAGTGGAAGCAGAACTCTGGGATCAGAATGTCTTCATTGTGGAGCATGTAACTACATGTCTATCTGATGCAGTGTTGTTTTCAGACATTTCTTGTTTTGAAATAGGGATTCTCTGTAAAGGAGTTGATGAATTGAAAACATGGTATCTATTGCCTGCATGTGTCCCCTTCCATTAGTAGGAAGCACCCTTACAGATGAACACATCAAGGGAGTAGAATCACTGTCACAAACTAGAAAATCCACCATTGGTAGCAAAAGGAGTTTGGCACCATGGAAAATCAGCTCCTGTGAGAAACACTCAAGCCTTTGCTTTAGGCAAGGCTGTCATGAGTGTTACTATTCAACTGCTGCTCACCGAGCAAGAAGAATTATCAGTGGTTAAGAGCACTTGATGTTCTGGAGGATGCAGGTTGGGTTCCCAGCACCCACAGAATGCTTCACAATCATCAGTAATAGCAACAGGATTCAATACCCTCTTCTGACCTCTGTGGGTACCAGGCATACATGTAGTACACATATAGACACACAAACAAAAAGACTCATACAAATAAAAATAAAAAGGAAATCTAAAAATTCTCTGTACTTTGTACCTTGCAGTTTCCTTTCTAAAACGTGCACATTCACATACCAACATGTTAGTCATCTGAAAATGACTGATGAAAAATGTCTGTGTTCTGGTTTTCTTTTGTGCATTTAACATCTTGTGTTTGCCATTGTGGTTTTGCAAAATGCAACCTTGCAAGAGTCTGGCATTTGGTTCTCTAAAAATTGCCAGTCAGTGCTGTTTTCTTCTTCACAGTTTAAATGTATGCTTCATGAAGTTTTAATCCCACATCACTGGAGGCAAAAAGCCTAAACACTTAATTAAATGTAGAACTTTCAAAAATCTAGTCAAAGAAAGTAGCCAGTTCATGCTCAGGGACCTCCACTACACATGACTGAACAGTATTCTGTGTAAAATATAGGGAACCACCTGGAGGTGGTGGTGAATGCCTTTAATCCCAGCACTTGAGAGGAAGAGGCAGGTGGGTCTCTGTGAGTTTGAGACCAGTCTACAAGAGCTACTTCCAGGACAGGCTCCAAAGCTACACAGAGAAACCCTGTCTCAAAAACAAAACAAAAACAAACAAACAAACAAACAAACAAAAAACTAAAAATCAACCAACTAACCAACAAACAAAAAAACATAGGGAATCTGGTCACAGAGCAAAAGCAGTTTCTTCATACAGGCACTGATACTACTGTGAAGTGAATTTCTTTATGAAACACAGTATAAGTTTCTTTATAGTTGTAAAGCTAACAAGCCTGAATTTTGGCATAAAATGCCCCAATTAACATTTATGACCATACAATAAAAAAACATTACTTTCTCCAAGATTTACTGTAGCTACTTAGCTATAAATGTCATTATTTCACTTTAGGGTAAGGTGACACTTCCTTGAATTTTAATTAAAAAAATTTATATGCCTTTGTGTGTATGCCATGCATGTGCAGGGGTTCTTGGATGCCCTGGAGATGGAGTTGCAGATGGTTTTAAAATGGTCAATGTGAGTGCCAGGAACTGAACTCGGGTCCTTTGGGAGAACAACATGCTCTTAGTCACTGAGCCATCCATCCAGGCCATGAAATAACATTTTGTTAAACTGTTACATAATGGAGCCATGGACCTCATGACAAAGCTTTGGTCCACAATGAACCATACACACAATGGTAGTCATGCAGGTTATACTGCCTAATATTATGCATACATATATGCATATTAATCAGAGATTTTGTAACTAATATTGATGAAGTAAAGTCACATTAAGAATAATTAATAGTAAGCAATTAATATTACCTGATCCAAAATCTGTTTTGCTTTCATGTGCAGGGTCCCCAGAGCCATGCCATATTGTTGAATTTCAGAGTCTCCAGTATGAAGCTCATCTTTTCCTGGCAACAGTGTCTTCATGCTTTCATCCTCTTTATAATCTTTTTGTTTTAATGCAGCTCTGTAGTTAAATAGACTTAACTTAAAACTCTTTTTTTTGAAAACAAAATTATTCTAACAAGTCAATATCCTTACTTATTTTCCTAATATCTATGTCCCAATACTTTTTCTAGACCTCATGTTTTTAATTTCTCACTTCAATCTTTTCTAGAGATCATATTTATTGGGAAGGTAATAATGAAGGAAGGAATGTTTTCTTGACTGATAAGTTTCTGTTAAGAGAAACTCTGGTAATTATTTTGGAAAAGCCACTTTGAAACTATTCATCAATTTGACAAATGAAAATTATTATTTACACATAATTTGACATAATTTTCTATATAACCCCCTAATAAAAACAGGTAATGGAAAGTTAATTTCTAAAAGTTATTGCCTACAAACAAGTATGTGTGTTAATTAGAAATATAATTTTATTTTTATAAAACATTACATGCACCCTTGGAATGATTTACAATATAAAAGATCTCTTCCAAAGCTTTCAAACAATGAGTGTATACTTATTACTAGAATTCAAGGCAAGACTAGGGAGTCTATTTTACCTTTCACTAATACTTTCAATTCATCTGAGTATTTTGATAAGCAATTTAAAAATCAATACAAGATCAATTGATTCAGTAAATGTATCTTGTTCTTTTAACATAGAAAGTTAGTTTCATTTCATCAATGAGAGATGTATTGAATAAATTAATTGGTCATCTACTCTAGTTAGTACAGGTCAAGAACAAAGGTGTTGGACCTGGAGAGAGGCTCAGTGGTTAGGAATGCTGGCCTCTTGCGGAGGAAATGGGTTAGGTTCCTAGGACCCACATGGCTCCTCACGATTGTCTGTAATTTCAGTTCCAGGGGACCCAATGACCTCTTCTGGTCTCTCGGCTTGCTATGTAATATACATACATACATGTGGGCAAACACACACACACACACACACACACACACACACACACACACACATGCGCACGTGCCAAATGGGTAGCTGGGGTGTAACTTAGCACTATGTGCTGGTCTTGAAAAGATGAAGTGTAATTTCCAACACCAAAAATAAAAATGAAGAGCACCACTGCATGAATTCTAAAACTTTGGTTTGATAAAATGACTGCTTCTTACTCCTGTGGTGGGACTGTAAGTTAATACAGCTTTTGTGAGAACAACTTAGGCAAATGGATCAAAGTCCTCTTTATATTTCTATTTATTTTTATTTTTTTAAGACAGGGTCTTATAGCTCAGTGTAGGATGGAACTCATTATGTAGCCCAGGTTGGCCTTCACCTTCCATTATGTTTCTGACTCAAGTCTCCTCAGGGATGAGATGAAAGGTGTGAGCCATACATTCCACTTATTGATTAAAGTCATTTACTTTTTAAGAAGCTCCTATATTTCAAGGCAATAATTTTATATAGAAAAATCATTAAAAGATAATTAAAAACATAGAAAACAACATATAAATAGCATTCCTGTAATAGACAGTATGCCTTCCCAGAGAAGAATCATGCTTAGAGGTGAAAGATAAGCCTATCCATCTTTGGCTGATGCCCCAGGAAGAGCCGGCCTTGAACAGAAGGTTTCACTGACTTATATACACCTTAGGCTTATGCATTTACATACTCTGTCATCCTTAAATATCGTTTAGGTCCTGGCCCTAGGTTGCACTCTGAACAATTTAAACAGAGACAGAGGACTGCAAACCTGGTCATGCAGGCAGATGTGATGTTCTTAATGATAATTTCTTAATCATTGTTACCTAGGATCATCTTGCCTATGTGGTAGAATTTTGTTTTTCCTAATAAAAGCACAAGGGATTTAAAGGCACACAAGGTTGTGGTCCTATCAAGGTCCCCTCGAGCATGTTCTTAACGGATGGGCCCAATGGCTAGTCGATCCCAATGAACAAATACTTATATTCAAGCATCATAAATTTTGTTTATCTCTAACAGGCTGTGCTCCCAAATTCTCCCTTTAAATGTCTCCTAAGCAAATTTATCAACAAATCCTTTTATAGAATCAATTCTCTTACCTTGAGTCTCTTCTATATCATTCCTTTAAAAATTACATGAGGACTGCCAAAATCTCATTGCTGAGTAAGTAACAAGAATCCTATGCAGTAGGCTCCTATAGAGCTGTTAAAATTGTGACTTGTAACGATAATTATCGGAAATATGTAGGGGCAATGGCCTGTTATGGCATTTGTATGGATTTTACACTTCACAAGACAAGGAAGTTTCTCCCTATTCAAAACCCCAGAGGAGCTAGTTACATAGTCAGCAGTTTCATAGATCCTTTCCGAACATCTGCCATAGAAAGTAAGTCTTCATCATCTACAAACCAATTAGCCTCAAATCCTCAAGCCTTTGTGGTCTAACCTGGATCTCACTGGCTCTGTTTTCAACACCTCTTCTCCCGCTACACTGTTTTCCATGTTTCCAGTTTTCCTTGAAAGTAGCTCACAGGATTCCTTTTCAGTTTGTGCTTGCTGTCTTTTGGAACACAGGTCTGCCTCTGTAACACAGACAGGGGTCACTTTTTTTTTTTAAATTGAAAATAACCTGGTGGTGGCACATGTCTTTAATCCCAGCACTCAGGAGGCAGAGGCAGGCAGATCTCTGAGTTTCAGGCCGGGGTCTGGTTCACAGAGTGAGTTACAGGACAGCCAAGGCTACACAGAGAAACCCTGTCTGGAAAAACAAAACAAAACAAAACAAAACAAATTAAATAGATTATTTTTTTATAGAATATATTCTGATCATGGCTCCCCCTCCCTGTATCTTCTACCAGATCCTTCCCACCTCCCCAGCCATCCAATTCAAAACCACTTTTCTCTCTCTCTCTTCAGAAAACAAATAGGCAAATAAAAAACAAGCCAAATCTCACAGCCTGAGAAGGCACACGTCTTCAAGCTCTCTCTGGGATAGAGTTTAGCAGTCTGTGCAGTGACTCGACAGCTCTTAATTCCTGCTTCTGTCTCTTCCATGTTCTTTGTCATGCTGAACTAAATCATGCCATGCAGGTTTTCCTGTCAAATACCCCCTTCCTTCAAATTATACAAGTCGGATCCTTCCTTTGTTCTTGGGATTTTGCTCAGAGATGCGTTCTGAAGGCTATTGTGACAGCCCTTCCTTTCTCTTTCTCTTCCTTATTCTCACTCTTTTATTTTTGAGACAGAGTAAGTAATACTATGTAGTCCAGGCTGTCCTCAAACTCAGAGATCAGCCTGTCTCTGCTAGGATAAAGATGCATGCCACCTCGATTAGCTTTATTCTCACTCCAGGTTTGAAAGCGAAGTGCTTCTTCCCTTTAAAGTCTCATCATGTTAAGATCTCTGTATATGTTTTTGGTTGTGAGCCTAGACTTTAATGGCTGAGCCGGAGGGAGGGAGGGAGGAAGAGGGAACTGGGATCGACATGTAAAATAAAAAAAAGGATCTCTGTATATTGTGCTCTTTTCGCCTAGTGTTCTCTCTCCAGCTTGGAGGCCCATTCTCCTAACAAACTGCAGTTTCTGAAGGGAACTGTGTGTTTCCTTTCCAGCTGACTATTTCTGTTTTACAAGCCTTATTCTATGTAACGCTGCCTGTGTGAATGAACCAAATCCCAGAATTTCAAGATGCTGTACCAGAGAGGAACTATTCACTCATTCCTACACTGAACAAATGCATACTGGATATCTACAATACGCAACACAGGATACAAGAGTCTGCAAATAAAATGAAGAAAGAAATTCTGCTGTTGTTTAAAGTCTAGTGGAGAAGAAAAGATTAATAAAATAACCATTATAATTCTGATAGCTGCTGTAAGAAAATGTCTGCTATCACCCAAGGGAACTTGATCTGCAATAGGCCCCAGAATACTGTTCAGAGAAAGAGATGGCTATGCTGAGGAGCGCAGGGAGACAGCAGTCAGTCAGAGTGAAGAGCACACTGCATCATAGCACATTACTGAGACTCCATTGCAAGTTGCTTCCATCGACAGTGGAGTGAAAGGTGCAGACTTCATCTTTATCTGGAGGAACCCCAAACACAAACAGCATGTGAAACAGCAATTTTGAAGATGATGATTTGTCTGATATCATAGGAAACAAATGAAGGTAGTCTCTCAAATGTTTCAGTTGCCTTTCATAAGAGAGTGCTAGGCTGTGACCCAAAGAGAAGGAACATGGCCCAGGAGACTATATGAGAAATGTTAAAGAGGAGTCTGTTAAAAGGAAGATGGGCAGGGATCACAGGACAGAACACTGAAGACCTTCAAAGCCTCTTTTACTGCAAGCGGAGAACAGTAACTGTGCCAGGAGAAGAAGGACAGTCTCTTTCTGCCAGACAAGCAGGGCAAACACAGTTCATCCAGCAGTGGTCTTCATTAAATTCTAGAGTCAGCACTGTTCTGATGTCTCTTTCTTTCTTTCTTTCTTTCTTTCTTTCTTTCTTTCTTTCTTTCTTTCTTCCTTCCTTCCTTCCTTCCTTCCTTCCTTCCTTCCTTCCTTCCTTCCTTCCTCTTTCTTTCTTTCTTTCTTTCTTTCTTTCTTTCTTTCTTTCTTTCTTTCTTTCTTTCTTTCTTTTCAAGACAGGGTCCCTCTGTGTAGCTTTGTAGACCAGGCTGACCTCGAATTCACAGAGATCTGCCTGCCTCTGCTGGGATTACAGGCATGTGCCTGTAACAAGTAAGGTTTTTCTGCCCGCCGCTGCTGGTCTGGTCCCGCTGCTGCACCAGCCCCAATTAATGCACTGAGACTCTGTATTAGATATAATGCTGTTGGCCCATTACTTGTTTCTTATCGGCTAGCTCTGTCTTAAGTATTAACCCATTTCTGCAAATCTATGTATTTCTCTTACCGGGGAGCCGGCCGGTATTCTGCTTTCTCCAGACTCTCCATCTTGACCCTCCTTCCTACTTCCTCTTTCCTCCTAGTCCCGCCTATCTTGCTTTCCTATTGGCCAACAGTGCTTTATTCATTAAACCAGTATGAGAAACATATATACATAATGACATCGCCCATCATCTCCTCTTTTCTGTCTAAATAAAAAGAAGGGTTTTAAGCTTAACATAGCAAAATATATAACACAACAGTTATCAAGTAAGAATCACAGTTAACAATATTTTGTCCATTAACATTTAGTAAGATTTGAAGAAAATATTCCATCATCTATTTTATCTTGGTGAGTCTAAAGTCCTATATGTACCTTATCATTGAATCCTAACTAAGGAAAACTATAACCATAACTATCTGTCTTCAACTCCTTCAAAGACCACAGAAGGATAGTATATAAACTCTAGAAGTGACAGAGACATCTTGCCTTTTTCAGTCACCTGAAATTCTTCTGTAATCTTCCATCTTCAGCCCATAGGCCATAGTGTGTCTGGCAGACTCTTCAGCAAAGCAGGAAACTTTAAACTGCCTTCTTGTATTGGCAGTTTGTCAGTCATTTTTCTCTGTGTCCTGCAGAATGTCTGGCAGCCTCTTATATGAAGCAGGAACCCTGTAGCAATGTCCATCTTGAATCAGCATCACTTTTCTGTGGGTCCTGCATGTCCAGTTTATATAGCATAAAGTCAAACAGTCCAGACAAGAGCAGTATCTTGTCCAAATGGCTAGTCTTGCCATACTGGAAGCAAACTCTTTCTTCGATGTCCATCTTCCTTTCTGATGTAGGTGGTGTTGCCAGGAACAATTATGTCTCACTGTCAAGAAAAACCCTAAACCATTTTAAATGCCATATTCTGTAGGTTTTTGAAAGATTTGAAGAATGCCTATTCATCTTAAATACATCTCTGTGTATCTTGAAAAACTAGCTTAATTCTAAGCTTTGACTATCATAGGTAATTATCTATAATCTGTACTAAATTATACATTACATTCCTAAATGAGCTATGCAAACACAATACCTAAACAAAAGGAGAACTATACATATCACAAAATTGACCTTAATTGTATCAATAAATGAAAATCCATTCCAAAACAAAATTTTCATATCTATATTATGTGCCATCACCACCTGGCTTGTTCAGATATTCCTAATCAGCAGTAAGAACAGGACTGTACAAACCATACCAGTTTATAAGCATTTTAATAGTGTTTGAAAATAAAATACAAAACAGAAGTAGACCTATAAGGGATATTTGTGTGTGTGTTCTTGCATATATGTGTATATGTGTGTGTGTGTGTGGTATATTTGAACATGAGTGTGCCTGAGTGCTCACACGTACACATAGAATAGAAGTAGAATCAACAGAAAGACTTGGAATGCCACTCACACTGAGAACAGAAGGAATCGTTATGACTCTTTCATGGAGACTGTGTACTTGCTTTTGCTCTATTTTAACAGCAGACACTTTGGGCTGTTAATCAGGAGCACCTTGTAGAGGACAGAGTTCAGTTCCTAGCACCCACACTGGGCTACACAACTGCCTCTAACTCCAGCTCTAGAGACCTCTGACTCCTTAGAAACCTGCACAGACATGTATATAATCACAACACACATACATAATTAAAATTTTAAAAATCTTAAAATAATCCAAATACATTTTGATATGAACAGCACTGTAACACATCAGTATTTAATGGTTCAATGTTCAGCAATGTATACATATATTTCTGAAATATATTGAAAGGTCCCTGTCATTCCACTTCATTTAAGTTGATTTCTTGGGAACATGTCAGCCATGCAAGTGAAGGAAATGAGTAGGCTAACTGAAGATCTTCATCTCTCTTTCCTTTCCTCCAAGACCAATCCCCGGTCTCACTCCCATCTCTGTAGTGCATCACCTGCTGCAGCCTCTCCCTCCTCTTTGCCCACATCTCCATTTGATCATGTAGACTTCTCTTCCAATCTTTTCCCCCCACTCATCTTGTTACCCCAGCTCCAAACTCCAGCAGGCATTCCCTGGGAACCCACTAGCCAAACCTGCCAGAGAAGCAGGCAGACAAGCTTCAGATATTCACTCTCCCCACTCTCCTCCGAGTCCAATCTCCCAGTCTCATCTGTAGCAGACTACCTGTTGTAGTGAGCCTCTCCTCATTCTGCTGCCATTCCCAGGGGACTAAACAGATCCTGCTAGGACACCCTCCCTCCTGTAGACTCCCTCACCTTCCCCCAGCTCATCTCCAATTCCCGATACCAATACCCACAAACATATATTTCCTAGAGCCCCCACGGCCACCTCTCAGGATCTTAGAATTCCCTACTAGGTAACACACAGCTACCACAATCTTCTAAAAACCAGAGAGGGCAATAGAAACCAAGGAACAGACCAACCCGCCCAACAAAGACAAGACCAGATATCAGCATCTAGAATTACAGTAGATACCAACATAAAAATACAAGCAATTAATAGCTAGGATTGTATGTCTCTACTACAGCCTGGCAACCCTACCACAGTAGGCCCCGAGAATGCAGCGTACCAGAAGCACAAGACTAAGACCTTAACAAAGCCCTTATGAATATGATAGAGGACCTTAATGTGTAAATTAATAAATTCCTTAAAGAAATCTATGGGAACGCAAACAAACAGTGGGAGGAAATGAATAAAACAGTTCAAGATTTAAAAGTGGAAATTCAACCAATGAAGAAAACTCAAACTAAAATAAAACTGGAAATAAAAAAATTTAGGACCTGAAACAGGAACCTCAGAGGCAAGCCTCACTAACAGATATAAGAGATAGAAGAGAGAATCTCAGGCACTGAAGACAGAATAGGAGAAATTGATACCTTGTTAAATCTAAAACAACAACAAAAAATTCCTACAAAAACTTCACTGAGTAAAAAGAAAGAAAGGAAAAGAAAAAAAATACAAAAACAAACTATTGCAAAGAACAAATCTAACAATAATAGGGATAGAAGAAGAAGAAGAAGAAGAAGAAGAAGAAGAAGAAGAAGAAGAAGAAGAAGAAGAAGAAGAAGAAGAAGAAGAAGAAGAAGAAACAACCCAGGTCAAAGGCACTAAAAGTATTTTTTAACAAAATCATGGAAAAAGTTTCTCTAACCCAAAGAAGGTGATTTCTATCATGGTACAAGTGCACACAGAACACCAAATAGACTGGACAAGAAAAGAAATTTCCCTCAGCACATAATAATTAAAATACTAAACATACAGAAAAAAGAAAGAATGTTAAAACCTACAAGGGATAAAGATGGAGTAACAAATAAAGGCAGACCTGTTAGAATAACACTTGACTTCTCAATGGAGACTCTAAAAGCCAGAAGGGCCTGTATGGATGTTCTATAGAGTCTAAGAGACCACTGATGCCAGCCCAGAATACAATACCCACAAAAAGTGTCAATCGCCATAGATGGAGAAAATAAGACAGTCCATGATAAAACCAAATTTAAGCAAAATTTTTCTCCAAATCAAGCCGTATAGAAAGCACTAGAAAGAAAAACTCCAAACTAGAGAAATTTACCACACCTCCCAAAACACAAGGAATAAACAATCCTAATGAGCAAATAAGAAAGGAAACACACACACACACACCACCAACAACAAAATAACGGGAATCAGCAAATACTGCTTATGAATATTTTAACATCAATGGTCTCAATTCCCCAATAAAAAGACACAGACTAACAGAATCAAATACAAAACAGGATCCATCCTTTTCTGCCTCCAAGAAACAAAACTTAACACCAAGGATAGGCATCACCTCAGGGTAAAAGAATGGAAAAAGATATACCAAATGGACCTGAGAAACAAACTGGTGCAGTCACATTAATATCTGAAAAATAAACTTAAAACCAAAACTAACCAGAAGAGATAGGAAAGGATACTATACTCTCCTCAAAGGAAGAACCCACCAAGAATACAGAGAATACAGAGCAATTCTTAACATGTATGCACCAAACATGAAGATAGCCAAGTTTGTGAAATAAACACCACTATAGCTTAAATCACACATTGACCTTTACTCACACACTGATAGTGGAAGATTTCAGTGTACCACTTCCACCGATAGATAGGTCAGTTAGATAAGTCTAAACAGAAATGCTGGAGCTAACTGATGTTATAAATCAAATGGATCTAACATATTACAGAACAATTCCTATGAACACAAAAACAGCAGCTCATGGACTTTTCTCCCAAACTAACCACATGCTCAGACACAAAGCAAGTCTCAGTAGATACAAGAAAGTTGAAATAACTCCCTGAATCCTGTCAGACCACCAAGGGTTTAAAGCAGGATATCAACAACAACAGAAACAACACAAAGCTTATGGACTCATAGAAAATGAATATTGAAAAATGGGTCAAGACAGAAATTATGAAAGGGTTTCTAGAATTGGATGAAAATGGATACATAATATATGCAAACTTATGGAACACAATGAAGACAGTTCTGAGAGGCAAATTCATAGCATCATGTGCCTAAATAAAAAACTAGAGTGATCTCATACTAGTAACTTGATGGCACTCCAGAAAACTCTAGAACCAAATGAAGAAATCATATCCAAAAGGAGTAAATGGCAAGAAGTAATCAAATACAGGGATGAAATCAGTAAATTAGAAACAAACAACAGCAAAAAATAATAAAAGAATCAAGGAAATGAAAAGTTGGTTTTTGAGAAAAATCAATGATTGACAAACCCTTATCCAAATTAACTAAAAGGCAGAGCAAGATGATTCAAATTAACAACATTATAGATAAAAAAGGGGGGGGGGGACCAGGAGACATTCTTTAAAAACCACTACTACTACTAAAAATTACTTTGAGATTTCATCTTACACCAGTCAGAATGGCTAAGATCAATAACTCAAGTGACAGCTCATACTGGAGAGGATGTGGAGTAAGGGAAACACTCATCCATTGTTTGTAGGAGTACAGCCACTATAGAAATCAGTGTAGTGGTTCCTCAGGAAGATGGGAATTGGTCTACCTCAAGATCTAGCTATACCATTCTTGGGCATATACCCAAAGGATGTTCCATTCTACCAGAAGGACATTTGCTCATCCATATTCATTGCTAATCTATTTATAATAGCCAAAATTTGGAAACAACCTTGATATATCCTAACAGATGAGTGGATAAAGAAAATGTACATTTACACAATGGAATATTACTCAGTCATTAAAAATGAAATCCTGAAATTCACAGGTAAATGAATGGAACTTGAAAAATTCATCCTGAGTGAAGTAACCCAGACCCAGAAAGACAAATGTATTCCATTAGCTGTTAAGTCAATGATAACCAAGTTACAATCTGTAGAACTGCAGAGAATAGCTATAGAGTATGGAGCTGGTGTGGGGCAGACAAATCTCCCTAGGAAAGGGAAATAGAATAGAGAGTTATGGATGAATTCTGGCTGGAGGTAAGGGACTCGAATGAAAGGATCAGATGGAGAGGGGAAAGAAAAAGGAGGATGAGGGAGGGAATTTGGGGAGAGATACCTGGAAATCAGGGCCATTTGAGGGTAGAATGGAAACCCAGCACAGTAGAAGCTTCCCAAATATATGCATATGTGAAGGAGATGTAAATGAAACCACCAAATGAAAGGGGAAACAGAGCCCCAACTGGACATCTCTTGTCACCAAAAGAAGCCTCTAATACCAGGCTTGGGTTACAACATCTGAGTTGTTTGCCATAGGAATCCTATGAGAATCCTCAAACAACCCAGGCTATTGCCAAGACTATAAGTTGCTCTCTACAAGCTAACAGCAAGCCCCCAATGCTGAAGAGAATGCTTACACAACTCATTGAACACGGAGAAGTTGAGAGAGAGAGCCTTCACCCTTATGTTCTGGCATCTTTGGTACAGGAAAGTAACAAGGAAGGGTATGAAAGAAGAAAGAAAAGCTACAAAAGAAGAAATGAAAACACTAACTCAGGCACAAACCCTTTGGTCTACAATGGTGTCCTGCCTGTGAGATACGCAAGACAATGGAGGTACAAAGCTTGTGTGAATTACCAATCAATATATGATTTGACTTAAGGTCTACTCCATGAAATTGAGCCCAAACTTGACATTGCTTGGATGACTAAGATCCTGAGAGTAGATAGCCCAGAAACCTAGGGTAAAACCAAATAATACCATTCTAAAAACAAACAAAAAATATAACAATAAAATGACTCCTAATGACATTCTGCAACACTCAGATCAGTCCCTGGCTCAGCCATCCTCAGAGAAGTTTCCTCCTGCAACAGATGTGTACAAATCAGAGACCTACAGCCAATGTGTGGACAGGGAGAGATGTTGGAACATACATACATATATATATATATATATATAATCCCTTAGAAGCCTGTTTGTTTTCTAATGAAAGTCAGAAAAGGAGTGGATTTGGATGGGAGGGGGGAAGGAACTAGAAGAAGTAGAAGGAGGGTAAGCTATAATCAGGATATATTATGTGAGAAACAAAAATCTATTTTTAATAAGGGAAAAAAAGTTATTTGGATACTAGCCCAGTACCCTGATAATGAGGGCCAGGCAACTTACCATCCTCTGAGCACTGCCCAGATGACTGAGTTAGGTCATCAGTGTCTTCCATAGCATTCATTTCTCTTCTGACCTATATGTAAAACAAACTACACCAGGTGACAGTATTCACAGACAGTGATACTGCATACAGCCACAAAAGAATGATATATCTAAGCAGAAATGTGGGCAGTCCCAAAAGTACTGGTATTTGTCAAAAGGTAGCTTTATCACTGGCTTCTGATTCTCATCTCTCTTTGTAGCAAATGCTTTTTTTTTTTTTTTAAGAAAATGTAAACAGAAGGTTCTATGCCTTCCCCCCATAGTGTCTGAGTGTTTTGCCTACATGTATGCCTTGTTGTACCCATTAAAAACCATGTGTGGTGTAGATATGGCAGCTAGTCTAGCTATCAGATGAACAAGGAACCAGTCACTCAAGGTCTTCCAGTCTGATCTTTGGTTTGTTTGTTGCACTGGACTAATCCCTGTGCCAGCAGACATGGCCAAGCATCATTTGCTCAGCCCCACTGCTGTTTTGCCTCTTTTCCATGTCAAAGTCTGTGGATTTCTGGCACCTGAGTCCATACTTGAAATGATGGTGGGACCTTTTTGAGGTGACTGCTGTCCTTGGGTTTCATCTCCTTGAGTTCCCTCATCCTCTCCCTAGGCTTCCTCTCTGCTGTCTCCAGCAAGTGGAGAAGACCCCCATAGGACTGTGGCCACTGTCATTCAGTACACTCTGGCTATTAACACTGTGGCAACCCACAAGGCACTGCATGCAGGGAGGCTGGAACCTTTGCTGCAGTGGGGGCTTTGCTGGCATTGTTCAGCCTGGCTTTAGCAGTTCTCACTCCAGATCCCAATGTTGGTGGAATCTGCAGGTTGAATGTGGACCTGTCCTGGGGCCTGAATAGCACTGGCAGTGGTTGAGGCCTGTGACATTTCTACTCTCTTTAGCTGGATAACTACCTGAACCAAAAAATTTGCTCCTTCCAGACCCCTTTCTCCTACAGAGCAAAGTGACTTGCTAGACTGATTCTTCTAGTGCCAGAACATATCTCCCTTGGTATCATTCCTCTTAGTGAAAACATACTTTTATCTTACACAAGTCTTCCCAAGTCTTCCTTGGTATGCCCTTCTTGTCTGCACAGCTGAGCATATCCTCTGTGAGGCCACTGCACCCTGCATGTGTGTGTGGGCAGTGCTGAGGGCAGCACTGGTGGTTGCCAGATTATGGTGATGCTGGTGGGCAGTTGCAGAAGCTGTGGTTCCTCCCAGGGTGTGATGAAGCTAGGATGTTCCCACTACAGGGGGCTGCTAAGGGCTCTGTGGGGTGTTCTCTGTTCCCACTACCAAAATGTGGTTTTGATTTTTACAATACCTTGTGCTTTTCCTTTGATTCTTCCTTTGCAGGCCTGAAAAAGAAGAACATAGAATCATTTCAGACAAAATACAAAAATACTAATTCTCTGCAGGTGTCATTAATTCCTCTGGATCATAAAGTTTATAGGCTGTTTATAGTCATTTTCTATAAGACATTTGAATGTGAAAAGAAAATCAACTTGCTTTATTTACAGAAAAAGGAACTGCTGCTACCCCTTCCTTCATGGGACCTTTACAGTTTTTACCTTCCTTTACTTGGGTTGCTGTCATTTAAACTCCAAGTATCCTTCACTCTCAGGAGATCAGCTGCCAACTCAAACTTCTCAGATGTCAGTTCAGTCACAAAGTCTCCAGAAGACCATTTTTCACATCCTCTTTTCTTTTCTTCTTTTATATTCAAGGCTGAACCACTAATTTTAAAAAAGTCACAAAAGACAATACAGACTAATAATTCTATGGACAAAAGTTCTAAAAACAATGTTATAACTTTCCAACTCTTCCCCATCTCACTTCACTTATTAGTTAAAAGAAGTTATAAAGTAGTAGCTAAAGGTGAGGAAACAGATACTCCTTGCTTAAAGACAGATGCCAAACAGCCTGGTGCAGAGCTATATGCAAGAGCTGGCATAGGAAAACCCTTCTCTGAGAACACGGAAGGGTTTCCAGAGGATGGGGGCTACAGAAGAGGCACTTAGCAGGAAAAGATGAGGGAAAAAACCACTTCTCGGATAGAGGATAGAATGTAAATGTAAAGATTAGAACCGGTAGCTCTCCCAGTCTGGAATTGGAGGCATTAGGGGGGCAAGGTAAAAACCTATTGTAATGGAAATTTCCTGGAATCTATGAGGCTGACCCTAGTGAAGTCTGCTAGTAATGGGGGATACAGAGCTAGAATTGACCATCTTCTGTAACCATGTAAGTCTTCCAGTGGAGGGACTGGGACATCAACCCAGTCACAAAATATTTGACCTACATTGTATCCTACCTACAAGATGTGTTGGGGTAAAGATGGCACACAACTTGTAGGAATGGCCAATCAATGTCTGGTTCAAACTGAGGCCCATGCCATGAGAGGGAGCCCATGTCTGACTCTGCCAAGGATAGAACCAAACACAATGGGCATAAAAAAGGCAATAAAATGATTCCTAATAATAACCTGCTGTACTCAGACCAGAGCCTAGCCCAGTCATCATCAGAGGCTTCATCCAGCAACCAATGGGAACGGATGTGGAGACCCATAGACAAACTGAGGCAGAACTTGGGGAAACTCAAGGAAGAGCCAGAGGGGTCAAAACACCACAGAAAATGGCATGCAGAACCAACTAACCAGGGCTCATAAAGGCTCACAGAGACTGAAGCAACAATCCCAGAGCCTATATGGGTCTGCACTAGATCCTCTGCATATATGTTATGGTCATGTAGCTTGTCATGGGACTCCTAATAGTGGGAGTGGGTGCTGTCTCTGACTCTTTTGCCTAATTTTGGGACCCTTTTCCTCTTACTGAATTGCCTCATCCAGCCTTAAAAGGAGAGATGTGCCTAGTCTTTTTATAACTTGTTTATATCATGTTTGGTTGATACCCCTGTGAGGCCTGCCCTTTTCTGAAGGGAAATGGAGGAGGAATGGATCCCTTGGGGAGAGGTGAGGTAGAGGTAAGAGACTTGGAGGAGAGGATGGAGGGAAAAATGCAGTTGGGATGCAACATATGAATACATATAAAAGAAAAAAGAAAAACAAAAAGTTATGAACACTAGAAAGGAAAAAAAAAAAAAAAAAAAAAAAAAAAAAAAAAAAAGGAAAAAAAAAGTGAACTGGCAGTTAGGTATTTTCTAGAAACTTGTGGAACAGAAGTGAGTAACCAAAAATGAATGCCATGCTAACTTTGAACACTACACTGAAAGCCCAATCTCTCCGCCTACAAGCAATGACCCTTGTACATGGGAGAAATAACTAGATTGGGGCTACAATTTTGGTTTTACTTTTAAGATATGTGATTAATTAAAGAGATGTTTAAAATTACATGACAGAGAAGTTGGGGGATGGTTCAGAAGTTAAAGCACCTGCCAATTCAGATCCCTAGAACCCACAAAACCAGGGGGCACATGGAAATCTTCTGTAATTCCAGCCTCTGAAGTGGAGACAGGGAAGCCCCGAGGAAAATGTCTTGAAAACTAGCTTTGGGTTTGACTGGGAGATCTGCCTAAAAATGGATCACCAGAGGAGATGATTCCTGACGCCAATATCTGGCTTCCATACTCATACACACACAGTTTTAAGAGAACCATCACATATATGTGCTACAAGTGCAAAATGTTCATAATACACATGTATAACCCTCCCTCACATACAAAATGGAGAAAGAAAACACACAATAAAACATTTAACATGAAAAAGTGAGAAATATCTTGTGTAAAATTTTACCTTTAAATTTTCATGTACTCATGGAGTACATCTGATAGAGGGTTAGTATCTAGAATATACAAAGAACCAAAAAAAAATCTGAATATCAAGAAAATAAACACTCAATTAAGAAAACGAGTACAGAACTAAGAGGAGAGTCTTCAAAAGATGAAATACAAGTGGCTGAGAAACACTTTAAAATGTTCAACACTCTAGCCATCAGGGAATCAAAACTACTTTAAGATTTTATCTTACCCAAGTCATAATGGCCAATATTAATGAAACAGATGATAGCAAATGTTGGTGATGATGTGGAGAAAGGGGAATACTCATCCATTGCTGGTCAGAGTGCCAACTTAGACAACAACTAGAGAAATCATTGTGCTTGCTCCTCAAAAGGCTGAAAATCAATTTATCTCAAAAGCTACAACACTCTTCGGCATATACCCAAAGGACTTACATACTACCACAGAGACACTTGATCACCCATGTTCATTGCTGCTCTATTTATAATACTCAGAAATTGGATAAAAACAACTTAAATGTCCAACAACTAATAAATGAATAATGAAAATGTGGTGCATTTACACAATGGAATATTATTCAAGTGATGAAAAATGAAATTATGAAATTTGCAAGCAAATGGGTAGAACAAGAAACAGTCATCTTGAGCAAAGTAGGTCAGGCCTGTTTACTCTTCTTGGTGGATGTTAGCTTTTAAACTTTAGATATATGTTCTTCATTTAGAGCAACCACAGAGGTTAGGTAGCTTGTAAGGGACCAGGAGGGAGGAGAGGAGCTTCCAAGAAAGAGGAAGCAGAAGATAGTATTATAAAGGATAAAGGGGAAACTAGAATAGGAGGGTTAAGTAGGGAAGGTGATGGGAGGACAGGGTAAAGGAGGGAATATGGTGAGGGGCAACTAACAGTTAAGACCTTTTGAAAAGCCATATATATATATAATTTATATTATATCAATAGATATGATATGTCATATGTCATATATATGAAAGGAATTTAAATGGAGTTACCATATAGTGGGGAGACAATATCCCAACTAGACATCACATGTTACCAAATAAAACTCCAATACCAGAAATGGGTTACATCTTTTTAGTCATTGGCCAAAGGGTCCCATAGGTCCCTCCAAGTATTATAGCCTATTGGCAATGCTATTGGTTACCCTCCACAAACTGATAGTAAGACTTATGTCTTACTTATGTCATCCAACATGGAGAAATCAGGCTGATGCTCAAGTAAGAGCTTCATCCTTACTGACTAGTATTCATGGCTACCAAGGAAAAAAGTAAATCATCAGCCTCACCTAGTCACAAACTCTGCAAGATACAATAGCAACCTGCCTGTAAGATATACCCACTAGTGCAACAGTGGCACAAATGTTATGGGAGTAACCAAACATTAAAAAAAATACTGGTTTTAAGAATCACTCTATAAGATGGAAACCATACCTGACATTGTGCAATGAGGCCAACAACTCAGTATTTGAGTGGTTCGTAGGCCCCAGGGCAAAACCTACTACTAGTATTCTGCTAAAGGAACATAGCAATAAAATAACTCTTAATTATATATATCTATGCCCATAGATCTGTGCATTTCTCATATGCCAACATATACAACTCAAAATAATATATGATGATTTTATTTGAAAAGAAAATGATTTAACACATTTTTTGCATATTTTTAGTTTAATATCTAAACCTATTATAAACTACTGAATATATCATCATCCCACTATATTCCTTCATTTTATGTGTATGAGTATTTTGTTTACAGGGATATGCTAGCAAGCCAAATAGCTTTCTTCCACAGCCCAGGTGTTCCAAGTATCTGAACAAAAATAGCCTAAGACAGACTATCAAATAAATGTTTTAGATACACTTTAATTGTGAAGTAATCTATACACTACAGATCTAAACTCATTTTGCATGCACAGGCATACATGTGTGTATGTGCCATAGTGAGTGTCTTTCTACCATTTGGGGCCCAGGCATTGAAAGGTCATCAGGCTTTGTTGCAAGCATCTCTGACCTCTTCTGGCCCCTTAAGGTGTGCTTGAGTGTGTTTTCCAGTCACATTTTCCTGTTCCAGAAAGACAATTCCTACAAGTCAAATTGTTAATCTGGGTGTGGTAATTCATACTTGTAATCATAGCACTTGGGAGGCTAATGCAGAAGAATTTCTACAAATTAGAAGCCAATGTGGGCTACAGACAATGTGGACCCTGTCTTAATATTTTAAAAAGTGAAGTTTTAAGGTTAAAAATATGATACATAGGAAGTTTTGAATGAGTATTACCTTCAAAAATTATTTTCCCATTTCATTTGGAGATAGTGGTAAATTATCTTTTCTTATACATCTTCCAATCCTAGTTACTATTTTTATACAAAATACTTATCAATGTGATCAGAAAATTCTTTATGATTATTTATTTATGTTTTTATAATCATCTAATGCCTAGATATCTCAAGTAGAAGTAAATTTTGTTAACCCCATATATTAACCTAAACTGAAACTTTTTTTTTCGAGGCAGGGTTTCTCTGTGTAGCTTTGTAAACCAGGCTGGTCTCAAAGTCACAGAGATCCACCTGCCTCTGCTTCCTGAATGTTGGGACTAAAGGAGTGTGACACCACTGCCTGGCCTCGATTAGAATTTCATAGAACAAAACAATGGCCTCTTGTGAAATAGCACCACATTCTTACCCATCCTGCTCTTTGTTGTCTGTACGAGGAATCTGCTGGGAGCCAGGCTTCCCGTTCTTCCTTGTTAGAGGTGACCCACTGTCACCATGGTCAAGAGCAGCAGCACACAGGTTCTCTGATGCTTTCCCTTCATTCATTTCCTGCTTCCTTTCTTCTTCAATCTTTAATCAACATTTGAGACAAAGGATAACTGCTAACTTTTTGACATTAACATTGGTTGGTTTACTAGATTTTTAATCACCTGACTCTCGGTTTCAAGTAGTGGACTACAAGTGCTGAGTGGATAGTACAGGATTGTGGAAAACGAGGTACCTCTCAAACACAGCAATGATCTGCACCAGCCTTCCCACCCTCTCCGAATAAGAGCACTGCTAAGAAAGCTTCAAAGTGATTCCTCAACGCTCTTACAGGCAATCCCTGCTTTGTGTGGAAGTATCATTTTTCTTTTTTCTTTAACTTCCAGTTTTATTACCTTTGCTACAACTGTTAATCTAGGCAGGTGACCAACTTTCCAAGGCTTAACTATAACACCCCCACCGTGGGCAGTTATCCATCACACCATCCTTTCTGTTTTCTTCACAATTTCACCTTCAAAAAAGATTTTACTTTTACCTAATTTATTTAACAACTGCGAATTAGTCTCTTCTCAGCAAGGTGCAGGTTCCATGTGGCTTGCCTACTATTGTTTACTGGCCTTCCTCAACACATGGCATATATTGAGTACTTTGAATTATTTGAGTGATTGGTAAGATCCTGTAAGCTGGTTCATGCAGATTAAGACTTAAAGGAGCTATGAGGGGAAGTGATCAACTTTAACCAGGCACAACCTGGACAAATGCCAATGCTTTAAAATAAAATATGGAAGAACCAGGAACAATCATGCCTATGAGGACTGGAATCAAAGGTTTGTTTCATTCCGCAGGTGAAGTGTCTCGGCAGAGGGGCTGAGGCATGGCTCAGTGGTCAAGAGCACTTGCAGAGGGAGCATGCCTGGTTCCTAGCACTGACAAGGCAGGACACAAGCCCTGTGACTCTACCTCCAGGGGATCTGACGCCCTCTTCTGGCTTCTGTGGGTGCTCAGTCTAATGGTTTATCTTCCAAAGCAGGCAAACCTAGCATTGGGTTTTTCACTTCTAATGGAACCATTCTTTCCAGTGCCTTTTCACCTGTTCTGGTACATTCTGTAAAGATGCTTCGATCCTGTGTTTAGTCAGTCCCTATGGAAATAACGGTGCACACTTCCTGCATATTTCATTTTTACTTCTGGGTAGGTCCTGAATATAGACTCCATGATATCATTAGTTAAATTATATCTCAACCACTACAGCCATCTGTTTGGGTCCAGGCATCATCCAGAAAGCAGCAGGAATGCCAACATTGTGCTCATGATTGGGTGTAGGACTATCTTTTGCATTCATATTTAAACAATTGGCCTAGAATTCCTTAGTACTGATCTCACACAAGATCTTCACAGAGTTGGGATAAAACACCACTCCCTTGGAGCATCGTGCTCATGCCTTCTAGCTCTTCTGCATCCATCATGGCCCTGGGAGGAGGGGTCCTTCACTGCATCTGCTCTTTCACTGCCATGCCTTCAATGGAAAAGGGGGAGTGTGCTGTGTCCCCTCCCTGCAGGGTCAGCTTTTCCATCTGGACTCATTTTCTGGCATTTAATATCTCTAAATCTATCTTTGTGGTCAGGTGCCCAAGCAATTGTCCATGCCATGAGGCATAGAGTCCACCCTTCCTCTCTGACACACCTTCACAGTCAGCACGGCTTCTTCAAATGAAGTTCCCATGATGGCTGTACAATGCAGTATATTTTATTACCTACCTTTAAGAGGGTTTATTTTTATTATTTTAAAATTTCATGTAGATGTGTGTCTCTGTGTGAGTATGTGCACATGGGTACAGATACTAAAACCCAAGAAAGGGCATGAGTTTGCAGGAGCTAGAAGAGTTACAGGTGGTTGTGAGCTACTCAGTATGGATGCTGAGAGCCAAACTGTGGCAGGTCCTCTTAAAGAGCAGTATGTGCTATTAGCACTGGGCCAGGTCTTCTCCATACCCAAACTAATATTTTTGATTATCAAAATGTATGATAAAATTCAACAAGTCTGGATCAGATAAATTACCTGTATTGTTATTGAATTAACCAGAGAAACTTACAAAGTATGACTTTTACAAAGTTATTTAATGCCTCTCTGGGCAAGAAGCATCATCTATTATTACTTTTGAACGTATCTCTTGGTTTGTGTTTATCGGTACCCCAGCACTTCAGCATTCTCCTTTGGAATCAAATGCCAAGTGTTTGCTTAGGAAATGTTATGTGAGAAGCCTGCATTCCAGGGGTCTCCAAACTTTACAGAATAATTAAGTTGGGGAAGACAGCAGTAGCTATCAGTGCAAGTGAGGGTCATCACACACCTGACATGGCCTTTCTTCATTTCTGGGAAGCCCTTTGTGCTTTTCCTCCCAAGTCAATTCTAGGCCGGGCTCTGCTGAGAAATGTGTGTATATAATTAAAATTAATTACTTAAAGCAGTTAAAGCAATGGCTATTATCAAACTGATAGAAAATAATGACTAGCAAACAATGTTTTTCTTTTAATTTTTCAAATTAATAATTTTTAGCTGAATGTTACTTCTGTAGGAAATGCTCCTTATTATCCAAATATTGGAAAATAATTATAGCTGTCCACAGTTTTAACAGTTTTGGACATACACTAGATGCCACAAACACTCTACATGAAGAAACTTAATCTCAAAAAACATTAAAAATATGATAGAAAAAAACCCACAAATTCACATTAAATCTTGTCTAATTTGTGACAATAACTTATAAATAGCCTAGGCCAAATGCTCATCAAAATGATTTCTAACACTCCTGTTCCTTTCACACATTTACCAGTGAACAAATACCCTCTCCTTATATCTGAAATTTTTCTCTAGTATTCAAAAATTTCATTACTTTTAAATTCAGCATGAAATATAAAACTATACTAAATATGGTTTTTTCTTTGGTGACCTAGCTGTTTTTCTATTGCTGCAATAAATTTCAAAGCAACTTGGGGAGGAAAGGGTTTATTTCATCTCACAGTCCATTTTTTATTGAGGAAGTCCAGATAGAAACTCAAGGCAGGGACCTGGAGGTAGGAGCTGATGCAGGTGGTATGGAGGATGCTACTTACTGGCTTGCCTCCCTTCCTGCCATCCCCTCCTCAACTTGCTTTCTTATAGAACCCAGGACAACTTGCCCAGGAATGGCACCAGGAATGGCTGGGCCCTCCTACATCAATCATTAATCAAGAAAATGCCTTATAGTCTTGCCTATAGACCAGTCTGGTGGAGGCATTTTCTCAATTGAGGTTCCCTACTTCTAGATGATTCTAGCTGTGTTGAGTTGACAAAAATCCAATGAGCACATCTGGATAAAGAGTTGCTTCTTTCTTTGCAGTTGATTTAGTTTCTTATCAGTTCTTCATGGCACCTTTAACATTTGAACTGAATTGGAGGACACAGTAGGTCATCTTTGTGTATATGATTATTGTACTCAATAATTATTGAGTTCCCGTGAGCTGCAAGGCATGCCAACTTAAAGTGATTTCAATTCAGAGTGATGGGCAGCTTTCCCAGCATCTGACCTGAGCTGAGGTTGGTAAGGTGGAGAGAGGGCAGATGAGAGACAGGGGCCTGGCAGGCAGCAGCAAAGAAGTGCTACAATAGTCTGAAGCCCAGGATTGCTGAAATGAGCACCACCAGAACATTAGGAGTGTCAGGAACCAGAGATGGGAAGCTAGGGAGAAGGCCGTGGATGCTTGTGGGTCACTATCAGCTTGTGGACATTAACATTTTAAAGAGTGGCTATGATAGTGCTGGAGTTAGACAGTCACCTAAATGCCCTCGAGTGAGGAGGCTATCAGGGAAGGGTGCAAAAGGGAACAATGGAAGAGAAGACTACACAGACATGGACTGAGAGGAAGTTTCCAGAGGCATTTAGGATATAAAATTATCACTGTCCAATAGAGAATGGAAATGTATCAGCTTGATTACGAGGAATCTGGGCTCTGGAGAAAAAGGATCTGCAAATTACCATCTGGTCATCTGGGACCAGATGAGATGGAAGTGTACTGTCTAAGCTGGCAGAGGCTTGGGTTACTTCCCTTTTTTTTCTTTTTTAATATGTTCATGATCAAATGAATTTAAGTTTGTGTGTGTGTGTGTGTGTTTTGAATAACATGTTCTAAGATCTACCGAGTTCATCCATGTGGACTGTGTGTCTGGGGCCGTTTCCCAGAAGTATAACATGTGCTTAACATTTGTCAGTCTCATGTTTATTTCCAAGCATTAAAAAAAGAAAATGTAAAAACAAATGAGTTACTTTTATACTCAAGTAACTAGGCTTATAGCTTCTACGGATTGCTTTAAAGAGTAAATATGTCTAAAATATGACATGTATAGGAAAAACATTCTATTTTATTATAGGTAAAGTTTATTATATATGACTATGACTGTTTAAAGGCCCTGAATTAATTTCTGCATAAAGTAGAACATGTCAGTGCAGTGCATCAATGAAGTATGTGGTGATACGGTGTTTATGATCTAATAAAGCTTGCCTGAAGATTAGAAAGGCAAAGCAGCCAGCCAGTAGAAACTGAACCTCACATGAGACCCTTTGCTTCTTCCTTATATACCTCTCTAGTGCTGGGATTAAATGTGTGAGCTCTGTTACTTTTAGGCTGAATCACTCTCATGTAGGCCTGGGTGTCCTTGAACTCACAGAGATCTGTCTGCCTCTGTCTCCTGAGTTCTGGGATTAAAGGTGTGTGCCACCACTGCTTGGCCTCTATGGCTGTGACTAACTTTGCATTCTGATCTTCAGGCAATCTTTATTAAATCATAAACAATAAATCACCACAGAAGTGTGTGTGTGTGTGTGTGTGTGTGTGTGTGTGTGTGTGTGTGTGTGTGTCTAGACAGTTCCTGAAATTGTTTTCATGTCTAAGTCCATATACTGGGATCAAGTGAACATCTTGCCTCAGCCTACCAAACAGTTGAAAAAAAAAATAGCTGGTAAGTAGGATCCTCCCTGGTTTTCTAGGAAACCAGGTTTCCCTAGGTTTTCAGAGAAAGTGAGTTAGTGAGTTTCTTTTCCCTTCCTTCCTCCCTCCCTCCCTTCCTCCCTCCCTCCCTCCCTCCCTTCCTTCCTTCTTTCCTTCCTTCCTTCCTTCCTTCCTTTTGAGACAGGGTTTTTCTGTGGCTTTGGAGGTTGTCTTGGAACAAGCTCTTGCAGACCAGGCTGGTCTCAAACTCACAAAGATCTTCCCGCCTCTGCTGGGATTAAAGGCATGCTCCACCACTGCCCAGCCGAAAGTGAGTTTCATAGCTAATCTTCCCATTCCCAGCTCCTTATAAACACAAGAATTCAAAATTGAAAACACTAAGGGACTAGAACATGGGAGTTGAAACAGCTCAGTTAACAGCTTACATTTTAAAAACAGTTTTTCTTGTGTTTGTAAATGACTACTTCAAACATGGATGCCAAGAAGGACAATTGAAACATTTATGTCAAATCCTTCCACTACATTTTGTGAGAAAAAAGAATTAGAGACAAGAAGAAAGATTTTTCTATATGTTTAATAAATTTCTCTGCAAAGTAATTTTTATTTCAAAGGGTACCTGATGTAAATGGTTGTTCATCCTTGATTCCTTTAATTTGATCAGGGACAGAATCTTTCATTTTTCTGTTAGGCTGGAAGAGATTTGGAACAAGAGGGTTAATACATATTGCATGTAATGTAATACATACTTAATAATCCAAGATAAAAGGTAAATGTAATTACCAGCCAATGAAGATATTTTTCTGGATTTTCTAAAATGCAAAGGAAGATATGCAATCAATTATACTTAAATACAACAAAACCAGCCATACATCTGTGCATTCTTAAGACAGAGCTAGATCCATATGCACTCCTTTGGGAAGGACTATTTTAGGTTTTGATCTCTTGCAAATTTGCAGAGAACACGATATATATTGTAAGGAAAAAGAAATAGGAATGTGCAGGTGATGTTTCACAAGTGAGATTATAGATTATGTTCACAGCCAAGAGGAGTGGGTACATAAACCGGTGTGGCAATGGTGACTTATTAAGAACAGTGATCTCTAATCAGAATAAATAGTGATCTTCAAACAAGAAATGCCAAAGATGATGGTGAGATATTATGGTATGTATATCTAATGCATCACATACAGATCATGAATCTGAGCATAGCATATATTCTTATATTTCTCCTGTAATTTAAAGGGCCAGAGATTTCTATCCTTCAGGGTAAGACAGATTTCATTTCAGATGGAAGAAAGGCTTCTGAATTGTTTCCTTTCTTCAGGTCCGTATTTACCACCAAGCCTGCACAAGCTCCTTGATCACCCATGAAAGACAATGTTAAACCACAAGTAAGAAATGACAATAATATTTTCACCACTGAAATAAAGTTCTCAAATTGAAAAATACAACCATTTCCCCCAAGCATATATGAATAAACTTTTATACTTTAAAATAAGTGCAATATTTAATAAAAGTAACATGAGTATCAAAATAATGTGAATAACTTAATAATGTCTTTTATATCTGAAATTGGTATGGTTTAAAACATCATGAAACCATCTAAAGAATATTTTAATTAATCAAATTTGTCCTTTGATAATTTCATACATGTACATAATGAGTTCTTAACAACATGCAATCTACCTCCTCTCAACTGTAGGAAATAACTCTTATGGCTGGACAATGCTGTTTATAACGGATTTTTTTTTATGAAGCAAATATCTTAATGAAAATAAGTTGTCTCTTAAAAGACCAGCCCAATACTTGAGCATTCAGATTAAATTTTGTAAATAATAAATATCAGTGAGTCTCTAGCTTTGAAGACTGATTATATGTGATAAGAAAAATAAGTGGCTGAGACATGCCCCAATCAATCAGCAGCACTCCTTCCTGATTCCAACATTCTCTGGAGTTGTTATCATACTGAATCCATCTCATATTAACTCAACTCCCTCATCAACCCTCCCCGCCAAAGCACTCAGACAACACAATTTCCCTGAAAACTTTTCCATGTCAAAACAGTTCTCTACATCTGTGAACTTGTTTCTGAACACAATACAAGGCTATTACAATCACCATTTCTTGTCTACTGAGCAGTAGATGTTAGAATAATTATAATATTGATCTACTATCTTATGAACACACATACATACATACATACATACATATATATATATATGTATGTATGTATGTATTCCCCCCCCCAACAGGAATGGAGTGGTATGTCATAGCTTATGTTACATGCCACATGTATTTGCTTCTTTCTCCCCACTTAGGCTCTGAATGCTAGGCTTTTTTTATTCTTCATTCCCACTTTTCATATTCTCAATTCCTCCCATTTCTCTGGTCTTAGAATCTTGAACAGGAAGTGATTATTAATTTAGGCCCCCCCACAAATGAACCTATTGCTAAAACCAGAGAAGACATATAATTTATTATCATCTCGTTTCACCATTTACTTTCTGTGCATTCAATAGGACACAGCCCTGGGTTATTAGCATACACCTGTAGTCATGTTTAAAAAAAACACTCTATTAGGTTCAATGACAGTTTTAACTACACAGTTCTTACCTACTGCTTGGCCATTTACTTGTAACATTCCATCAACACCAATGCGAATAAGTGGAAGACTCTCAGAGACACTCTGTAACAATTAACCCCAAGAATGAGTTGCATAAAGCACTTCCTGAACAGATAAATGCTGTCTCAAAAGGTATTTAACATAAAAATAAGACAAACATTTGATGAAAAAAGTTTTCTTTTCCTTTCTTTCTTTCTTTCTTTTTGTGGACAATATTAATGCTCTTTAGTCCAGCTGGCCTTTTATCTTCAATGACTCCTGACTGCCATCAACATATTTACATATGAAATTCTAGTGGGCCCACTGCTCGGGTTTTTTATTCGATTTTTAATTTATTTTACATGCTAATCACAGTTTCACTTCCCTCCTCTCCTCCTGTTCCTTCCCCCTACCTCCCTTCTACACTCTCATCCATTCCTCTGTCTCTGTTCAATTGGGGTAAAGCCTCCCATGGGAATCAACAAAGTAAGGCATATCAAGTTGAGGCAGGATCAAGTTCCTCCCTGCTGCATCAAGACTGAACAAGGCATCCCACCATAGGGAATAGGGTTCAAAAAGCCAGCTCATGCATCAGGGACAGGTCCTGGTCCCACTGCAAGGGGCCCCCCACAAAAGAGTAAGCTACACAACTGTCACCCAGATGCAGGGGGCCTAGGCTGGTCCCATGCTGGTTCTCTAGCTGTCTGTCCAGAGTCCATGAGCTTCCATAAGCTCAGGTCAGTTGTCAGAGAACATATTGTTAAAAATACACTTGCTACAGTACAGCCTGAAACACTAAAATCTTCCCACACAATTTATCTTCATGTTAAGTCTCTTGACATGATGCTTTGGAGTGTGTCATGGGAACAAACAGGATATTGTGAAAGTTCCTTCACTTAAGTAGATAAGAATTTTAAAGGTATTTGTATAGGAAAATTATTCACTAAACATACCAAATTAGTATAAAATGATTTATTTATATTTTATTAAAATAAACACATAGAAGTGTTAAATATATTAGTCAATTTTATCTCAATTGAAATATGATAATTAAAAATATCAAATCTTTCTTAAAAAGAATACTTGTGCATTTTCTCTTCTATACATTATAAGGAAAAAAAAAATGATTCTGATAATGCTACTGTACCTGGTAATTCCAGGTTATTTAAGGCATAATGATGAACAGACAGGATGCACTGTTCTGTCTAGAACATTCTCATTGAATGTAGAGTTTCCCAAGACTGACTTCTTATATTGAGAAAGATCTTCTCTGACTGTAGAATTTCTTTATTCCCATCCCATCCTAAATACAAAGCCCTTCAATAGCCTTTAACCCAAATAATCTATTTTCTACATAAAAACTTTTTAATGACTTTATTTATGTATTTACTTGTTATTTTTCTAGTGGTGGGACCAGTTACTCATAAATGCCAGTGACGCAGTCTACCAATGAGTCACACCACCAGCCTATGACTTGTAGATATTTGGTGTTGCCTTGATTTTCTGCTCAATTATTATAGCTTAATCCTTCCAGGGCATTTTCACTATCTACCTGCCAAGCATATAGTGGTCACACAATGACAGAAAATTCTTCAATTTCAAATTATTTATACATCATAAGAAATGACTCAAGCACCAATTTACTCTATTCCAATTGGATATCTTCTCTAATAGTTTACGGAAACTTATAATGCTCCAAATTTGAAGCCCAGATGTGCCTTTCATCTTTCCACATCTTGTCTTGACACTGCTCTCATTTTATTGAGTTAGACAGTATTACTATTTCTAAACTATAATTGAAGTCAACTTGCTTTATATTTTAAAATGAATTTAGCCATTTCAAACTGATGTAATTTTTTTCTATAATTGTTCCTCACATAAACCCAAAGCAAGATATTATACCATCTTTGTGAAATAATGAGGGTAATGACATTCCAATAGGATAATTTTATCTAAGAATACAGAGCTGCTAAAAGACAGAACTAAAGTCTAACATGTTTGACTTTAAACACTGTGCTGATACATCTATGTAGATGACAAACCATTGTTTACATCTAGGTCACTACAAATAACAGCTGCCACCTACATACTCAAGGAAGTCCACTTTTAAAACTGTTCACCAATTTATTCAGGCATACAAAACAAAATTAATTTATCATAATCATCATCATTAGCATTATTCTCCATTATTTTTATGATCCCTTGCTTTTTCTTCTCCCAAAACACTTCTCATATGCACATAACAAAGTACATCAACCACTCTAACAAGTTCCGAGCTGTAAAATCCTAAGGTTCTGTTGCTAAACCTCCATCCATTGGGGAGATGCAAACATCTACTCCTGGTATAGTTCCAATAAGAAACAATGGTGTAATTCCCCTAAAGTTCACTCTGGGGAACAATTGAGTTAATTAGGCTTAATTTCAAGCCTCAGGTGAGAGGTTATGGGCAGCCACACTGGAAGGTCTACACCCAGGAGGGATGATGGCTCCCCCATGGCTGAGCAGATAAACTTCCCTTCCCGAATCCGTCCCAGCTAATAGCCTCTAACCCCTCCTAGGGACCCTGAAGCAACATGCAATTAGGTCAGAATTGTATATAACTGATTGGAGGAGTGGCTGAATATACATGCAAGGGTTCCAAGACCCTCCCTACCCCCTCCTTCCAAGAAGGAATGATGGTATTTAACAGTGCCAGCTATGGTGTTCTTCTGGGAGCAGGTTCAGCAGAACTCCTGAAGACGATGGCAGTATTGCTTGGAGGATAGTCCTGTACAATAGGTCTACAATGTTTTCCTGAATATTAGGGCTTTCACATATGGATATGTTCAACAGAATCATTCAACCACAGTAGACCTGGTATAGGCCTTCAATTCTAACACACAATTCAGAGCCAAGCTGAGTCTCTCACATTCACAGCCTGGGCATTTGTTCTACGCTGCACAGCCTTTATTACATGATTCTCATGAAGTATCAGACTTGTTCTGACCAGGGTTTGTACTACCACATGATGTCTTGGTGAATGCCAAGTGAAAATGTGGGGGATAGTTTCTGGTAAGAATGGCAGAATTGAGGAAGTCAAAGCACCCCCTTCAGTGTTAACTTCTCTTGATATTCATTAAAAAGATGAAAAAAAGTAATAACAGCAATAGATAATACCTCAGAATCCCAAGATGATTCATCTTCATCCTTTTTTCCTATGGCTAATGTGCATGTCATATCTGTAAAAGATAGATCTAGACATATGAGATAGAACATGTGAATCTGAAACATGCATATAAATCTTAAACCATTACTTCAGTGAAATGGAAGCCATAAAAATAATTTCAGAGACTTGTGATAGTCATTAAAATAAGTGCTGACCGAAAGAAAACTATTAAATGGGAATAGGTGTTCTGATCTACACACATTAGTCCTTTTGTAATTGACCTATTTTTTTCCTTTACAGTTTTGATACTGCATTCTGCCGTGTCTCCCAGGATGTCCTGGGGCATATAATCTTCTGACTCAGTCTTTTAATTTCAGAGATTACACATGTTTGATCAGCCACATTTGATTATCTTTAAATTGCATTGAATCTTAGAAATTCTTCATAGATATTTATTGTTTCTTTGTTGAAGTGTGAGTTATGCTTTATGAAGCACTACCTTGCTCTTCTTTTCTAGTCCTTGGCTCTGTCACAACTTCCTATTAAAAGCAAAAGGAGAAAGGACATCATGAAACCTATTTATTCACTCACTAAAAAAATTTCTGTTGTTAAAGCCACAGCTACTTTCTGTTTTATCAAACCATAGGCATATCCCAATGAAGCTGAGACTAAAGGACAGATTTCTGCTCTCTATTCAAGCTGAAGTAGACTTATATTAAAAAATGAGAACAGAAATGAAATGATTATAAAGGTACGTGGAGGGAAAAATCAGTTCTACCTGCAAAGAGGAGGGAATGCTGCAAACAAAAGAAACGGTATATCAGAGTCACAGGAAGCACAGGGAGCTGTGGAGACCATTTTAGCCCCAGGCAGCATGAGCCCAAGTGGATGACGGCTGGGAAAGTTCCTCACTTAAAGTAAACCATGGTTACTGATATAGGATGGGCAGTTGACGGATAATCATGACCAAACCAGGAAAGACATTTTCTTTGAGAAAGGGTCTCACTGTGTAGTCCCTCTGGCTTGGAACTTGCTATGTAGATCAGGCTGGCCTCAAACTCCTCATAAGATCTGCCTGCCTCTGCCTCCTATATCCACAATAAGAAACTAGTTCTGTAAACTGAGCACTGGAGTCTGCTAGCATGAACAATGAATACAAGGTTCTGTATTAATGACTTATCAGAATCCCATCCAGTGGCCACTGCTTATAACCATTCAACCATAATAACAGTGCTCAGATTTTTATCTCACCTTTGTCCTCTGTGTGGAAGTTACACAGATGCGTGTGTGTGTGATATATATATGTTTTCAGTTACAACAAATCTTAGATGTAAGTAGAATCTGGGACATATTTAAGTTTTAAAACCAGTGTCTCATGCTTCAGGGGACAGTACCACATTCATGCTCATAAAGACAGTAAGTCCTGGTTAAACTCAGTGTGTCACAAACAAAAAGGAAAACAAAACAAAAAGAAATGTTAGTGGGAGGGGAACTTGTTGGTAGGCAGAGTTTGGCGGTGGTAGGAAAGGGATAAGAGGTGGGGCAAGTGTGACCAGAATGTGTAATATACATGTATGAAACTGTAAAAGAATAAATGAATAGTAATAAAAATATTAGACATGAAGTTATGACATACTGATTCTACAAGGTTATTAGGAAAAGCATTTCCATTTGGTCTAGGCTAACTTATAAAATGAAAAGAAACAGCATTAATGAGAAACAGGAATAGGAATTATTACAGACCTGATGCTGGCCATTTCCTCTGCCATCAAGCCTCCTTGTTTCTTCCACTGACATCGCCTCTCCAGCTGGCTCTGCTGACAAATGCACATGTGTAGTGAGAGTGTGCTACCTAGAACTGTTCCGTAAGGAAATGAGACATTATGAAATAGAAAACAATAAACAAAGACAGTTTCCATTTTCTCTTTGCAAGTGGAAATTTTTAATTTTATATTAATTCAAACTAAATATATTTAAAGAAAAATATTTCTAATTGTTCAAATGTTTCATAATCCTTTTGGAGACATACTGGGTAGCATTCAGTATAAAGAAGATTCTTGCATGGGTAAGATAGCAGATTAGAAATGGCCTCTGTGAACTGCAGCCAAGGGGAAGAGTTGGGATGACTAAGAATAGGCTTTCCAGTGGAATGTCTAATTGCAAGTATTGGGAATCACAAAGAGGGTAACAGAATGATGCATACTGAAAGCACGCAGGCTTCATGCTTGAATCTATGCACTTTGTCTTTAATTTACATTTGTTTGTTTGTTTGCTGTTTGTGTTGTCTTTATTGCTGTGAGATTGGATCTGCTGTGTACTCTAGGCCACTCTGGAGCTCATTGTTCTCTTACTTCATGCTTTTAATTTCTGATTCTACAAGAAGGCTCTTCCCTGTGCCTGTGGCTGTCTTAACTGCCTTCTAGCTTAGCAGACTTTCCTATATTTTTGCTGGCTTTTGATTGTTTTGATGCCCTCTCTTTGTACAAGGCAGAGTGTGATTACTGGGTGTGGCTATTAGTGTGTGGTTTCTGAAACAGTACCTTGTTCTTCTCTTCCTGCTCCTGGCTCTGCCAATCCTTCCTATTAAGGATGTAAGAAGAAAAAATACAACTGTGAAAACATTTATTTACTCATCTACTCACCCACTAAATGAATCATTAAGACAACAAATATCTGCTGTGTTTGTCAAGTCATGGCACAACCCTGGCACAAACTGGGAGTAGAAGGTAGATTATTTTCTCCATTCAAGCATAAGTAGAGTCATGTCTAATAATTGAGAACAGAAGTGAATCATCCATTATTACTACAGTTAAAATGGTTATAGTGAAGGACATAAAGAAGAGTCAGTTTGGGCTAGAGAAACACTTCAGCTATTAAGAGCACTGACTGTTCTTCTAGAGGACCCAGGCTCAATTCCCAGCACCCACATGACAGCCACAATTGTGTGCAACTTCAGTTCAGAGGGATCTGATATTACATGTTGGTGATATACCAATACACACATGAAATAAAATAAATATATCATTTAAATATTAAAAAAAGAAAGACAAGACCAGGAAATGCTACAAACACAGGGTGATATGTTGAAGCAGAGAAAGCAAAGTGAGGGGTGAAAGCCATTCTGGACTACAGCAGCATGAGCATAGGGATGAGTCATGAAAACAAGACAAATGGGCTGTGAAAGTGGTGTGCTGGAACTAGAATATGGTTACTGGGAATGAGATGGATATCTCAGATAGAGAATTGAAGCCATGCCATAAAAGACATTTTCATGCTATACTGTGAATTCTTGAATTTCTCTGACTGGGATCTACTCAACAAACAGCTAAGTTCCCAGAGAGTTCATCTCTGCAATTATGTAGACACACATAAAGGTAACATGTGGAGAAGGGGTAGACTATTTGGTTTTTTTTTTTTTTTTTGTCATCAGCATGAAAGCATACTCCATTAGTAAGGCATGGAAAGTGGTTATCCAGCATGAAATGAAGTTGCTTGTAAGAAGGCAGGTGATGTCAGGGAGAAGGGGAGTCTAGGGTTTCCCCTGCTTCAGTGTTTAAGTTCTACTCTGCTTGTGTGGGGTTGGGAAACAAAAAAGAGGATGCCTCAAAAAAGAGACTGGGAGGAGTCAGAGAGGGTCAATATCTCTACTTGTAAGTTCTTAAATTAAGGCAACCAGGTACTTAGAAGACAAACTAGAATAAACCTGTGATGTGTAGGAACTGAAGACCTTACTCAGGGAAAGCATTATGGATTTTAGGAAAAGAAATATTTGCCACATATAGTTAAATGATGTGGTAGTTTGAGTATGAACAGACCCCATAGGCTCATATATTTGAATGCTTGGTCATTAGGAAGTGGGTCTACTTGACAGAGATTAGGAGGTGTGGCCTTCTAGGAGTAGGTGTGGCCTTGCTGGAAGTATGCACGGGATGGACTTTGGGGTTTCAAATGCTCAAGCCAGGCCTCGTGGCTCTTCTTGCTGCCTGCCTGCAGATCTGGGCGAAGGAAGAACTCTCAGCTACCTCTCCAGCGACATGCCTGGTTACAGGCCACCGTGTACCCTACCATGATGACAATGAACTAAACCTCTGAAACTGTGAGCAAGCCCTGATTAAATGTTTTCCTTTATAAGAGTTGCCATGGTCATGGTGTCTCTTTAGAGCAATAGAACACTGTCTAAGACAGATGCTATAAATGAATGATAGAAACCAACTGAGAATGCTGAAATTTTGACACAGAAAAGAAAGGGTAAAATTAAGGAGTACTGATATCTGTTGCAGATGCCAGTGTGTAATCTGCATAAAGAGTCATATGTTAGCATACACAATATTCATTTATTTAGAACTTTATTCTAGTTTGTATTAGTAATTTAGCTAAACTACATTACTGTAAACCAAACATTCCATATGCTGTTGGAAGACTCCTTAGTTCATCAATGTTTCCAAAAGTTTCAGTTTTAAGTGAGGCTTGTACCAAGTACATATTGTCCCAAGCACTCCACATTCAGAGAAGAGAACACTTGGACTGAGAAGTCGCAGGCCTTACTGGACAGTAGTAACACAAGGGCTCATGGTATTTCAACTGGACATAAGGTTTAGTTTTTCCAGTGGCAAGGGTCAATCTAGGGCTTTGGACATGTAGGCAAGTACTCTGACACTGACTACATCTCCAAAAGCTAGCTATTGTGAAACAGGATCTTACTATGTAGCTCATGCTGACTTTGAACTGGTAATCCTACTGCTACAGCCTCCTGAACACTATGAGTACACACATGTGACACTTTACTTGGCCAAAGAGATTTTCATGTGATCATAGAATGAGGCACAGTCAAGTATCATAACATGAGAAAAGTATTAGCCCCCCTCCCATTATAAAACTCACATGATTTTTCAATTCCCCACATGAACAACATCACACCAAAAAAAAAAAAAAAAAAAATACTAGTTTCCTGTCACATGGTGTGGCAGCCAAACATTTCAAGTAGAACCTGGTATTTAAAGGCAAAGCTACCTTTATCCTAGTTGAACAAATCTGCTATGATCCAACAGGGTAAGGTGCATAGGCAGTCTTGTTTTATAAGAGGAGAAAGGAATGAGTAAAAATCTAAATCGACAGGATTCTTGACTTAAAAAAAAAAAAAGATTTATGTGTAAAGATTGAAAGACTATGACCATTGGGACTAGAAGTTTACTGAAAAGTAGGATGATGACAATGGCATCATCATTATATCACCTTCTAATAATACTAAAGCAAATATTGTTACAGGAATATTGAATGTCTTCATGGTTGCAGTTATTAAAAAGAAGGAAATTAATCTGTATATAACTTTGCATACTCAGCTCCACAATCTTTCCTTCCTTATGACTCCATAATAATGGGTAGGTCATTGTAGAAAACTACCCACAGTTGGAAAGGTTTTATCATAACTATTCTTGTCACTGTGAATTTTCTAAGCTCCCACACTTCAAAATGTTTATCATTCATTTTGTGTCTGCTAAAGCCAACATGGAATTAAATGTCTACTTATCATAAGATGATGAGCATATAGTAAATATTAAATTAATATATTTATACTGTGTTTAAATGAGTTAATACATAATATGTTTACTTAGATTAAATAGACCCTGAAGATGATCAGATTCACAATAAAAAATCACTTCTGTAAACAGGACACTAGAGTACAGTAACACAAATCTACAAACACAAGGTCTAGAGTCATATTCTATAACTCTATAACCAGTGGCTATTACACACAACCACTCTTAGCTCCAAGTATGTAATAACATGGTTCAAATTTCATCTCACCTTCATCATGTGAGCTAGCTACACAGACAGAACAAGAAATAGCCCCCATTGCCAGGCCTTGGCTAGAGGTGAGTCTGGGACCAATTCGGGTGGACTCTCCCCTACACCCTTCCCGGGAATTCCCTGGGTTGGCCCCGGATCCCCCTGCCCCTGTGTCCTGTCCCCATCGAGATTGCTCTTGGAGCTCTGATACACTCCACCCACCCCCACTGAGAGCCTACCCTCCCCCTACCCTGTGCCCTACCCTGTCCACTGTCCCACCTCTCTGGTTGAGCACTGGGACAGAGGGTGGAGCCAACAATCCAGACACCTTTGGGGAACTTCCTGGAGCAGCTCTGAACACAGGAGACCTGCCTATCCACTCAGGACCACCTGTAATTTCCACCTGACTGGTCTCTGCCCCCTACCGCCAGTCCTCTACTGGAGTTCCGGGCCCCTCCCAGGAATCCACCTGCCTCTGCAGGACCACTCTGAATTCCTGCCAGCAGGATCCTTGACCCCCATCGCAGGGCTTCTGCTAAAGAGGCCTCAGCTGGAGAGTGTCAGGCTAGATCTGCCTATAGGCACAAGGAACATCCTGAGTCCCAGCCTTCAGGATCTTTGACTCCCATTGCCAATGCTCTGCTGGAGCATGATCTTTGCCAGGCCCCTGCCTGTGGAGAGACCTCCTAGAGAGGTTGGACTACCCAGAGCTACAGACATTGAACCTCTGACCCACATAAACCCACCAGGGAAGTACCATAGAGAGAGGGAGAGACCCCCACCAACACCTACTGGAAGAAGCTATGGGAAGACGACAATACAAGAAAACACCTAACAACAGAATCTACACCAACTAGACCAAAACATAACAAAGCAGATGAAGCAGAAGGGAACGACTTAAAAATTATCGTCATAAAAATGAGAGAGGCCCTCAAAGAAGATGTGAGAAGATCCCTTAAAGAAATGGAAGAAAAAACAAACAAAAAAGTGGAAGAAATGAACAAATTTCTTAAGGAAAGTAAAAGTATAGAAAGCCAAGAAAAAACAATTAAGCAGGTGAAGGAAATGGTTCAAGACTTGAAAACTGAAATAGAGAAAATAAAGGCAACACAAACCAAAGGAATGCTAGAAATAGAAAAACTGGGCAAACAATTGGGAACTACAGACGCAAGCATAACCAACAGAATTCAAGAGATGGAAGAGAGAATCTCAGGCGTGCGTGGAAGATAAACTAGAGGAAATGGAATCATTGACCAAAAAAAAAAAAAAAAAATCATAAATCCAACAAATCCTTAACACAAAACATCCAGGAAATGTGGGACACCATGAAAAGGCCAAACCTAAGAATAATAGGCATAGAGGAAGGTGAGGAAGCCCAGCTCAAATGTGCCAAAAACATATTCAACAAAAACGTTGAGGAAAACTTTCCCAATCTGAAGAAGGACATGCCCATGAAAGTACAAGAAGCATACTGAACACCAAATAGGCTGGACCAAAGAAAAAAGACCCCTTGACATATAGTAATCAAAATACCTGACATACAGAATAAAGAAAGAATATTAAGAGCAGCGAAGGAAAAAGGACAGGTAACACATAAAGGCAGACCTATCAAAATTACACCTGACTTCTCCATGGAAACCCTCAAGGCCAGAAGGTCCTGGATAGATGTTCTACAAGTACTAAGAGTCCATGGATGCCAGCCCAGGCTACTATATCCAGCAAAACTCTCAATCACTATAGATGGAGAAAACAAGATATTTAATGAAAAAGCCAGATTTTCACAGTAAGTATCT